TGACCGTTTTCTCCACACACTGATCCAGTGCTCAGAACGCCTGGGCACAATACGGAGCATCTTTAAGTAAACGCTCTGACGGGCAGTCCAACTGTGTTTCTGACAAACTAGGAATGGTTAATGAGAAAAACAAAATGCTGAGGTCAGGCTCCTTGCCTGCGTTCAAGTTCACATTGCCTCAGAGCGGACAGGACTGGAAACTACACATAATTTAGAGATGTTATATTTTTTTCTTCTTTCCATGTGTGCTGTGCATGTATTGTGTGGGTCCATGTGAGGGTGGTGGGGGGCAGAGTTGGGTGTTTTCCCTAGCTCTCTCTTCATTGACTGAAGCCTGTCTCCAGCTGTGTTAGCTCGCCAGCCTGTCTTTACCTCCCAAATGTCTAAGGGATCAAGGTGGCCTCCATGCTCACCCAGCTGTGATATGGGTTCTGGGGACCTGGACTCTGGTCCTCCTCAAGCCTGTGCAACTGGTGCATTATGGGCCACCTCCCCAGCCCTGGAATCTTAGATTTCGTAGGTTTTAAAATAAGCATGGCTGCTGGGTGTAGTGGTAAGGCTGCTGGGTCTCTGTGAGGCCGGCTTGGTCTGCGCAGTGCGTCCTTGCTTTAAAAAGAGAAACTGTCAAACTGTTTTCCAGATCCCAGTGATGATACTCCCACCCCACGGGGAAGCTTGAGAAAGGTAAGAAACTCTGGTTTTTGAGGGAGAAAGGCTGACGTTCTCATAACCAATTTACACAGAACCCTTAATTCAAGCGTGTTCTTGGTGGAAATCACATCTTATAGTGATTGGCCAGTATTCTTCCAAAATGTTTTTTTTTTTTCTAAACTGTTCCATAGACTGTATGACTGTAACAAGCGCCTGTTCCAGGTGAAGGGCAGTGGCCTGTAAGGGAAAGGAACAGCAGGGACCAATAAGCAGTCAGTGTGGGGCACCACAAGGCACCATGGGAAGGGAATGGAATGAGGATGTGGTCCTGTCCCTGCGATGCAAAGGCTGGGGTGTGGTGTGAGTGACAGGACACACATAGATGGTGTGGAGTGAGTGGGGACCACTGTATGCTTTCCAAGGGGTCTCTCCAGGGACCTTGCCTTCTGCCCTGACAATGTTTATGACTATGTAAATGTCTCCTGAGAAATCATGACATCAGCACTCATGGATCTGGACCAGGGACACCTCTACTGTTGTAATAGCCACCAGCGTTCTGACAGCAACCGCCCTGACATGAGATCCCAGAGACAGAGAAGCCAGTCCAGTTAGTGTTACTATTGCTGTGATCAAACTCCATGACCAAAGCAACCTGGGGAGGAACCGGTTGATTTGGTTCACACTTCCACATCACTGTTCAACACTGAAGAAAGTCAGGGCAGGAACTCAAACAGGGCAGGAGCCTGGAGGCAGGAGCTGAGGCAGAGGTCATGGAGGGGAGCTGTTTGCTGGTTTGAACTCATGGCTTGCTCAGCCTGTTCTCTTATAGAAGCCAGGACCACCAGCCCAGGGCTGGCATCACCCTTAATGGGCTGGGTCCTCCCCCACCAATCGCTAATTAAGGAAACGCCTCACAGGCTTGTCTACAGCTAGATCTTAAGGAGGCGTCTTCTCAATTGAGGCTCCCGCCTAACTGATGACTCTAGCTTGTGTCAAGCTGACATAAAACAATCCAGTACAAGGATTATTCCTAAGGCCTAAAACCATATATGTAGGTTGTGCCCACTTTATTCTAGAATAAAAAGAAAACTATGGCATGGCTCAACCCTTAAAAGAAGCCAGTTTTAACAGGTAAGATCTATGTGACAATGAAGGTTAAGAGTCCAGAACTAATCACCAACAGAAGCCAACACAGAATGGTCACTGAGTGTTGGCAGAGGCTGCTCATTTGCTTCCCAGCCATCCAGACTGGAAATAATCAAGCAGAGACTGTATTAATTAAATGATTTGCTTGGCCAATTAGCTCTACTGGCTAACTCTTACATCTTAAATTAACCCATTTCTATTAATCTGTGTATCTGCTTGATGGTTTGTTCTTCTTTAAGCAGCTTCAGCAGTCATTTTTCTGTGGGTCCTGCATGACCAGTTCATAGAGCAAACCATCAAGCAGTCCAGGCAAGAGCAGTTTCTTGCCCAAATGGCTGATAAATCCATAAGGAGCCTCTTTGATACCCGTTATCCTCTTAAAGTAGACTGGTGCTGCCAGGAGCAGATGTGTCTCATTGTCATGAAAAGTCTTTAGTTCTTAAAACATTTTAAATTCCATATTCCATACGTCTTTGAAAGGTTTGCTGAGATTATTTATATAACTGAAATATATCTCTATATATCTAGAAAACTTAACTGACTACGAGCTTGACTATTATAGATGATTATCTATTAACCTGTATTTCTTAATTATACACTACGTTTTTAAATGAGCTGAACAAACACAATACCTTGATTAAGAGCAGCAACATACATATAACAAAATTGACTTTAAATTTGTATCAATAAATCAAGATCCATACCAAAACAAATCTCTGTAACTGAGAGGATAGGGGAACTCTAGCAACCACAGGGTTAAGAAGAGAGAGAGAGAGAGACAGAGAGAGAGAGAGAGACAGAGAGAGAGAGACAGAGAGAGAGACAGAGAGAGACAGAGAGAGACAGAGAGAGAGAGAGAGACAGAGAGAGAGAGAGAGACAGAGAGACAGAGAGAGAGAGAGAGAGAGAGAGAGAGAGAGAGAGAATGCGCGAGAGCGCGCACACGCTCCGAGGAGCCCCCATGAGGGTTACTTATTGTTCTGAACTTTGGGTTTCAGGCTTTATCTGGACAAGATTCTAACACTGTACTGAGTCGTCTTTTGGCAAGAACCAGGAAACAACATAAGCAACATGGGACTGTCTCGGAGTGCTTCTGGAAATACTGCATTTGAAGAGATATGAGCATCAATTTATTTCATCAGAACCACCACTTTAGAAAACTAAACAAGGAAGATGCCTGAAGAAAAATCTGGCTAACTACCCCATTTCTTCATTATTATGAGAAACAAATCCTCTATGTTTCACAAGTATCACACGTGGTCAAGTTTACTTAAATAAACATCCTGAAAATCTATAACCTGTATTTCTCCCCATTATCCTTAGTATTTCCTGGAAATCTACAAGTTAGGCTGGAGGTGTAGCTCAGTGGCAGACAGCTTACCTAACATGAGCTCTCTGTTCCATCCTGGGCACTGCAAAAATGTCTAAGTAAAGCAATAAACTCTCCTAAATGAGTACAATGCATTTTGGTCGTATACAACCTTTCCTCTCCACCTTCAACTCCAGCAGTGCCCCTCCCCCTTACTTCTAAAATGCACCACGTCTCTTATTTGGCCTGGGGGGGTGGGGCTCACTGGTAGAGCTCTTACCTAGCAAGTGTGAGGCCCTGGGTTTTACTACAAATGCAAAACACAAAGCACCACACACTCAGAACAACTGACACCAATAGACCAGTTATTAGCAAAGCAATAAACGAAGTCAGGTGATGGTGGCGCAAGCCTTTCATCCCAGCACTCAGAAGGCAGAGGCAGACAGATCTCTGTGAGTTCTAGGCCAGCCTGATCTTCAGAGTGAGTTCTAAGGCAGGCTCCAAAGCTACAGAGAAACGCTGCCTCTGGGGGAAAAAAGAAAAGCAGAAGCACACAGCACGGAGTAAGAAGAAAAAGGCACCAAGATTTATCCAAAAGTGTCTCAAGTCATAAATGATTCAAAAATAAATTACTTTGTTATGACATCTTCTCAACCGTTAAAAATGAATATATGACTATATAAGTTGCAGATGTCATCACATCCAGCGTCTATTGTGTTGAGGATGGGATCCAGGGTTCCACGCTCATGAACCAAGCACTCTGCCACGTCTCAGGAAGGCAGTACCTTAGCTTGAAAAACTCAAGCTCTAACGCAAAGGCACCTGGAGTGGGGCCTGGGCGATGGTCTGAACTGTTGCCTGTGAGGAAGCCTGTATGCGGATTCCCACTTTTAGTAGGTCGCAGTACTGAGCACTTGAAAGCTTCCCTGCTCTCAACCTCTGTGAGTCAAGGTCATGGCTGACTCACACTAAGTACTGAAACTCACTCCCACTTCAGCCACTAGAGGCAAACACCCTGCATTCTTAGAGGGGATGCAGGGGTTCGGGTGTGCAATGGAATCAGTAGACCCACATATGTGCAAACACACTAGCATTCCATGTACGACTGTGGCAGTCTGGAGAGCTTCAGATCTGCCATCATGGGACACTACGTCAATGTGTCAGCAAACATCACCAATGCCTTCAAACACAGCTCTGACAAACCTTTCCTAATCTAGACATCAGCCACAGCTTGGTAGGGAAAGCAGGCATGTAGACTCAATTCTGAAATCAAGAATAAGAATTACGGTTCTCCAATCTAAGTATCAAACTAGTTCTAGCTCCCTACTGGCGACCCCCAAAAGCCTAAATGGTTTCTAGTGTACTAACATAATCTAAAAGTCATCAGGAGGTGCAGTGACTTGGGGTGATTTTCATGATGGATCCCTAAGCTCATCCCTCAGCAGCCTACCCTGCACCATGGGCTGCCATGAAGGGAAGAGGGGGCATCCGGGGGCAGAGGCTGTAAACACTGGCTATGTTTGTCTTGCTGTTGTTATCAGTGGAAGGAACACATGACTGGAAAGGCATGAGATCTAAGGCCTTGCTAGCTCCAGGGTCTGGCCCCATGTTTTTTTTTTTTTTTAAATATTTATTTATTTATTATGTATACAATATTCTGTCTGTGTGTATGACTGCAGGTCAGAAGAGGGCACCAGACCTCATTACAGATGGTTGTGAGCCACCATGTGGTTTCTGGGAATTGAACTCAGGACCTTTGGAAGAGCAGGCAATGCTCTTAACCTCTGAGCCATCTCTCCAGCCCCCTGGCTCCATGTTTTGATTTCTAGATTTTGCTGCTTTAAGTAACATTCAGACTGTAAAATACAAGCTCACCCTTCAGAAGCTTCAGAAATAATTTTGATAGTTTTATTAAACTGGCATAAATGAATGACATTATACATGTGTATACATACAAAGACATCCGGGACCCAGTGGAGTCTTCTCAGGGCTCAGATGAGGATGAAACACACTGGGAAGGGTCTTTCTTCCAGAGGGGACTGGAGACAAACTGACGCGCACTCGTGAGAGTGGTGATGCTGAGCTTGTGGGATGGGGGGGAGAAGGGGCTCAGGGGATCGCAGGAAGCAGCTCTGGCTGACACCACGCATGTTCAGGGCTTGCTGAGACAATGAAGAACATTCTCCACTTTTATGCATACACTGTTTATTGTTTTTACTCAAAAAAGATAACCAATGGAAAGATTAATAATAACCATTAAAGTACAAGCAAATTCATAATAATTATAAACAAACTGCTAATTTGATTAAAATTTACCACCTTGTGAATTATAATGATGTTTCATTTAATCCATTCACACAACATCTTGTTTTCTTAAATTTGGACCTATGACCCAAGAAAAGAAAGCTTTGGGGGAAAGAGTTATGTAAACATTGAAGTCTACAATACATACTTTTGTTACCAACTCTATAGTTATTAATACTACAAAAGTCAGTAAGCTTGAACAACGGTTTCCACTGGGTATGGCCCCCATGGGGGGCAGCAAGCTCTGCTGGACCTGCCCCAGCAGCAGGGATTCTGAGTGCACTGACAGCAATGCTAGCAGAGGGGAGGGAGACTTGGTTAAGGGCTTTCCAGACTACAAGCACCAGTTTCAAATCAAGCCTGGATAATACATACTCCGTAAGAGGTGACTAAGGCAAAGAAATAAGGAGCTGTAGATGAAACAAGTACTCAGAACCAACAGGAAAGGCCCATCCTACCAGAGAACATCAGGTCTGATGTACGTGTGCATGGATGCAGGATGGTCCCAGGAGCTCCAAATACCACAACCCTTCACTGGAGAAAGGCCAGCATGACCAACGCAGGCTCTGACATCCCCATCTACTGGGATGGAGTAGACTATGAGAAGTCTCGATTCACACAGCAGGAACCTTTGGTGGAACTATGCAATACCAGAAAATTCTAAGAATGTCATAGGCAGCACTTGAGAATGTTTTTGACACCCTCTGATAGGACTGCCATCCTGAAAAACCATTATTTTATAAAAGAAGTCTAAGCCACAGAGTTGGAGCACTGGGCCAGCAGTCGTCATGACCTTCTCCTGATCAGAACGACAGGACATTTATCAAGAGCTAAAAACTGTCAGAGAAAATAGTATTTTCTTGAACCAAAGCAAAGCAACAAACAGAAAACTCTATTAGATTGCTGGAAGTACTGCGCATGAGAGGAGACTGCAGACCGCCTTTCCTGCCAGCTCCTTCCTCTGAGCTGCACGGGGTGGATTCCACAGTCACTGGAAGCTGAAGAAGGAATCTTGGGTATACCTAGTCTAGAGCACTGGGCAGTGAGCGGACAAACAGGTAATCAGTCACACTCACTCCTGAGACAGAGCTGCAGTCCCGAAGGCTGGGGCCACCGAGTTCCCCTAAGTGTAGTTTCTCACTCTGCAGGCCCCAAACCCTGTTCAAGGGCAAAGAAAGGCAATGACAATCTGACCTCTGGTCGGCAAGAAGGCCTCTTTGTGTAAATTCAGCAAAAAGAAAAAGTTAACTGTTAGACTGAGCATTTAAGCACATATATTTCCAGAATAACAGTAACATGATTTTAAAAACTTTTCACATTTATTTTGTAACAACAACAAAAAAAAACCTTTAAAAAATATGATTGGCTGAGTAAGCAGCTCTTTTAACATGCAAGGCTTGATTTCAACTCTCCAGAGTAAGCCCTGTTCAAGCAGTGAGACCTTACAAAAGGCGTTTCCATGAGAGGCTGACACCAACAGGAAGTGCATGGACAAGAATGGGGTCAAACAACCAAATCCATGACTCTCGCACTTCCTAGGGAACAATGCACTCTAATGTTCTGTGAGAAAGGTGGAATGTCTTATCATAACCATGAAGGGAAGCACCATGCTGTACAAAGCCTAGATCAATATGTTAAATTCATGGAAAACATCATGTGAACTACACAGCCTACAGACAGAATTCAAGTATTCCAATGGGAAAATGCCTTTGCAGCAACAGAACAAAACAGACAGGACTAAGGCTTGGAACTTATTCAGAGTGACTTCTGAAATCAAATCTTCTCAGACACATACCTCCTCAGAGGCAATCTGGTGCCTTCAGAAGATGGCTAGGTCAGAGATTGGGAAAATGTCACCTATTAAAAACCGAGAAGGGAGGGCTGGGATACAGGTCAGCAGCGGAGAGCGCCAGACTAGCGTGTGCAAGGAGGCCCTGTGTTTGACCCCCAGTGCTACCCAAAACAAAACAAAAGCAAGGGGAAAATCTTAATGTTGATGACTTTGTCATTTAAGAGTTTAGTGAAGTAATACAGACGTCTTTGTGTCCCACAAGACCTGGAGAAAGTGTGAACAGTTGCTCAACTGGTGTCTTCTGATGCCTGATGTTCACAGGCCTCTCCAGTGTCACCAACTGAACCTCTGTCTTCACAGGCGACACAACTCTCCAAAAGAGAACAAAGAAAAATGTGTTATGTGATGCTAATGTCATCTAAAAAAGATGTGCTGGTTGGCTTCTGTCAACGTGACACAAACCTAGACATATCTGGGAAGAGAGAATCTCAACTGAGAGAATATCTCCATCAGACCGCCCTGTAGGCGGTCTGTAGTGCACTTTTGTGATTAATGATTGATATGAGAGGGCCCAGGTGACTGTGGGTGGTGCCACCTCTGGGCATGTGGTCCTGGGTGCTATAATAGGCAGACTGAGCAAGTCATGGGGAGCAACCCAGCAAGCAGCACTCCTCCATAGCCTCTGCATCAGCTCCTGACTTGAGTTCCTGCCCCGACTTCCTTTTGTAGACTGTATCATCTGTGAGGTGAAATAAAGCCTTTCCTCCTGAGTTGTTTTTGGTTATGGTACGTCTATCACAACAACAGAAACCTAACCAGCATAGAAGGCAGAGAAAGGAAATACACAAACAAGATGAAAGCATCCACCAAGAATCCTTTATCTAGCAAAGCTCCTTAGAAAGTAAGGGAGAAACAAAGGCTGGGGAGGGGTATGACCTCACCATACCTGCAGTGTAAGAAAAGCTGAAGGGGGAGGCTGAAGATGGCTCAGTGGGTAAGAGCACTGGCTGCTACTGCAGAGGAGCTTGGTTCGATCCCCAGCATACAGGGCAGCTCACAACCACCTCTAACTTCAGTTCCAGAGGCTCTGGTGCCCTCTTCTGCCCTCTGAGGGCACCAAGCCCGCATGTGAGTGCACAGACATATGCAGGCAAAACACCCATACACATAAAACACAACAATTGAAAAAAAAAAAAAAAGAAAGGAAGTGACAAGGGAGACTACAGACTGAATCAGAAGGATGGTAACTCAAGCCGTATTGATGCTGCAACCCTGGCTTGGTAAGAGATTAATGCATAAAATGACTGGAGTTTGTGTTTTTGGGCTGTGGAGCTCCAGAGGAGCAGAGCTCCTACTGGGTGAGATAATTCCCATCAGTGTGGGCCTTTCTTATATATGGAAGTTAAATTGCCACACAGGGATAGTATTTGAACCATGTATCTCTGAGAGCTTCCCTCAGCTGGTCATGTCAGGGTAGTGTCTTTACCACCCCAGCTTTCTAACTGGTGGAAGAGACTATGTCGTCATGGTAGTGGCATGCTGTCTAACAAGCCTAAGGAAAGAGCTGTGCCTACTCATGAAAGAGCGAAGGGGCCTGTGACACTCTCTCACAGAAAAGAACAGGGTAGAGAGTCATGAGGCTCTAACTTTAGACCCCAGCCTTTCCTCCCAGTTCTATGCAATTTCACCTCAGGTGTCCTGTGCTTTAGGGAGGTGACCAGAGTCTACAGAGTGCAGAATGCACTGATGGGGCGGGCTGGGAGGCTGCTGACTGGGATGGAGGAGACCACCTGTGGAGTTATGCTATGAAGTTACCATTCACACTAGGATGAGATGGTTTTGGTGATGTGGCCATTTTGGGTCACCCATGCTCTGTACGTAAGCTCAATTAACTCACTGGTGTCCGGGTGCCTTGGCTTTAACAGTACTTTGGCCTGTGACTGTGCCCTTCTGGAGGTGAAGGGAAGGAACTTCACCAACAGTGTTAGGAAGACCACTTCTCAAAACCTAGAACACTGTGCTAGCTATTTCACACGCACACTGCTGTGGGAATACAAAGGTGACTGTGAAGCTGAAGGGCACCTGTCACCTGGCGCACAACAGTCGCTGTATGAGCAATTACGTGCTTACCTGGAGGTGTCCTTCTTGAGGGGCAGTCTGGCTGCGGATCCAGGAGCACACCTTGGCCAGTTCCTCCTTCTGTGCAGGAGAGAATTGGGGCTGCCGCTGTTCCATGCTGCTGAGCTTTGCCAGGTCTCCCCTCAGCACCTCTTCTCTTCTCCTAAACACAGCAAAGGCCTCTGAGAACAGTCTTCCCTTCCACCACTGCTCTTAGCTGTTGACTCGTGACATAACCAAACTGTCTGCTTCTTGGTGGGAAACCCAGTGTGATGTTTAAGCAAAGCATATCAAGAAATGCATTTCCTTCCGCCTCCTCTGCTAGGGGCACGGGTGAGCAGCCTTTCTGCTCTGTGGGGTCTGCACATGCACAACTGCAGTCCTTCTCCAAGTCATTTGCTGCTTGACTTTAAATGAATAAATTTATAAACACATTTTTCTATGACCGTGTATAAGACATTTAAAAATCATATTAGAAACCAAACAACAACAACAACAACCAAAAAAAAAAAAAAAAAGCCAGTGAGATATCTGAGAAAGAGAGGGCCCTTTCGGCCAAGAGTGACGACTGCTGCTGTCCTTTGACATCTACATACACACCACAGCACAGAAGGTACTTCCCTGCTCACCAAGCCTGGTGGCCTGACTCTCATCCCTGGGATATACACGTTAGAAAGAGGTCAGGCTTCCACATGTGTCATGGCACACTCACAGATATATACAGAACAATATAAATAAATGGTAATATAAATTTTTTTGAGTTACAGAAATAAACCATCCAAACATCCGGCTGCATTTTCGAAGTGCTCTCTTACCTCTCGGGCACCTGGTATGTCATGAGAACACGGTCTGGTGTTTGTTCTATCATTCTCCAGATAGACTCTTCGGCCACCCAGGGCAAGGCTTCATTTTTTTGTCTATTCTGAGACCTCTGTCCGTTTTCAGAAATTCCAGAATAGTCACTGTTACTGAAGTGTACACTTCCTATCAAAGATCAGCAAAGTGGAAAACACCTGTCAGAAGTTTATTTGTCAAAGATTTCAGACTCTAGCAACTACCTACCATCCCAGCAGTGGCAGTTTCTACACACATTAACCAGACACAAATGATCTAACTATTTCAAATGGCTCACAGCATTACAGGCCCAGGCCAGAAACAGTCCAATAACATCTGCACAATGTAATCCTCTAGAGCAGCAGAAAGCAACAGACCACCAATACATGCAATAAAGATGAATCTCAACAGCATTGTTCTGAGACTCTGGACACAAAAGCCCTCACACTGTTATCTGGGTGTGTGGAACTACAGAAACCGAAGGGCAGTAAGCACACCATCAGAATGCCAGGACAGAGGACCAGTGCAGGGGTGGACTGTCGGTCTGAATATAAAACACCTTCACAGGCACACACTTGAGCACTTGGTCCCCAGCTTGTGGCTCTGTTCTGGAAAGTGATGAAACCTTTGGGACAGGGGATATGAGGTGGATCACTGTGTGTGCGTGTGTGTGTGCGTGTGCATGTGTGTGTGTAGGATTTTGAAGGTTGTAACATGGCCTCACTCCAGGTCTGAGCTCTGTGCTTCGTGTCTGCTGTGCCTGGGTCCCTCCACCTCAGACCAAGATGCTCTTGCCTCCATTCCTTCCCTGCCACGATAGACTGGACCCTCCAAACCATGAATGAAAACAAGTCCTTCCTCCTGTAAGTTGCCTCAGACAGACTTTCTGTTACAGTAATAAGAAAAGTCACCAACACAGACTATAAACAGCTATAGAGGAACTTTTTTAGAGCAGCAGGAATATTCTAAGTGGTGATTATAACAGTTATACTAATGCTAATTTTGTCAAATATAAGCATGCCCCCAAGAAAGCCTACAAAAAGAAGGGTTGGGAAACCCCCAAACTTTCTGTATTTATTCATTAGTGTCCAAACTAGAAGGTCTTGGACAAGTGATCTGGGAATAGTGTGAAAAGCCGTTTTTCCTGGTCAGCTACCTGAGGCTGCTGTAGACAGAGACTCCTGGTGCACTGATGGTGTGGCCAGGTCACTGGCGGCACAATGACTGCTCCTACTGCCATCGTTCCCTGTGACACAGTGCTGGAAGGGAAGACACAAAGGCATCTGGTGTACAGAGAGAACCAAATCCCCCGAGTTGTCCTTTGACTCCACATGCACACTGTGTACATTAGTACCCACCCCAACCCTCACCAAAAGTAAATAAAATGTACTTAAAAAATGTGTTATGTATAGGTGACCCAACAAGGACTGTGGAGCCTGTGGGGCTGGAGTTACAGGAGTCAGCTGGTAGGTGTGCTGGGGGCTACTCTGAGCCACTTGTCTAGTGCTGAGCTGCGGTCTTAGTCCCTAGCCCCCCAGGCTTTATTCACTCGGGCTCTCAGAAGTGAGTGTAGGGAGGGAGATGGCTCATCAGTTAAGAGCCCTTGATGTTCTTACAGAGGACCCACAAGGCAGCTTCTTTAACTCCAGCTCTAGGGGACCCAGCTGCCTCTCTGGCTTCTGAGGGCACTGCATGCACCTACTGCATACAACATTCAGGTTGCTAAAATACTTAGCTTTGAGTCTACACCTAAATGCAGGAATGACAGACTCTGAAGAGTAAACTGATAAATATATCTGGAAATGCTTTTTAAAGTAGAGTTTGCAAAGTTAATGGATATTTGTCTAAAATTTTTCAGTTTTGAAAATGACATGTATAAGCATGGAAGGATAAGCTGCCTGCTTTCTGATGATGCCAGATAGTGGCTCCACCGCATCCACACATGCCTGCTTTATGTGTACACACAGAAAAGCATGAATCCTACATCTCCAAAGAGGAGGCATTAATATTTTAAGAGCCAGAGGAACAGGATATCTGCTGTGAGACTGTGCCTACTAAAAAATGTCAGGGAAGCCGGGCAATGATGATGCATGCCTTCGATCCCAGCATTCAGGAGGCAGAGGCAGGTGGATCTCTTTGAGTTCGAGGCCAGCTTGGTCTACAAGAGCTAGTTCCAGGATAGGCTCCAAAGCTATAGAGAAACCCTGTCTTGAACCGCACCCCCCAAAAGAACAAAAACAAACAAACAAAATGTCAGTGAAGCTATATCCATAAAATCTCAATGGTATGGCTGCCTAAACAAGACCTGAAGAAGGACAACACCAACAGACAAGTCAACAGCAAAGGAGGAAAAAGCCACAGGGCCCCAACCCTAGACAAAGAACTATACGGAACTACAATGCCAAGAATGGGAGAAAATAGTCTTCCCCAGGAAGAGTCTTCCAATTAGTTACCCAGTACCACGTAGTAAGGCCTGAAATCATAAACATAAAGGTAACACTATATAGACTGAGCATATTGAATTTACATATTTAGGAATATGTATATATAGTATTTAAATATTTAAGAATGCATATATTTTGTATTTATATACTTAGGGGTACATATACACACCCCTATTAACAACAACAGCAACAGCAATAATAAAAGGCCATAATTTTGAGGAGAGTAAGGGGGATCTGAAGGGAAGCAAATGGGAGAATGATATAGTTCTATTTTGACTAAAAATTTTAAAAGTATGAATTCTAAATTCATATCCTGTCATATGGCTTATTCCCCTTACTTGACAACACCAGCTTTAATCTGTAAGGAATGAACATGTTAAGTTAAATACCTGGATATCAAAATTTAAAGGTAGAGGAAACCTAGCACACTTAAAAAATTTGAAAAACATATTTTGTGACAACCATCCCCAAGCATCAAGAACAGATGACTCCTTCATTTCTGCGCCACAAGTGGACAGGGACACACTCGCTCACACTGAGCAGGGCTTAGTCCAGCTGTGAGGCGGGTCATCCCCTAGTGACTAGGCTACCAGTGCTGAGCCTCGGACTTGGTTAAGGGTCCAGATTTTCTCACTCACTCAGGTACTGACGGCACCACTTACACACTCAACTTCTGGGCCAGCAGCTCTTCTCACTGGATCTGGAGATTCAGATGGGGCAGGCGTTTCTTCCTGGAGTAAATTTAACTGTAAAGGCGAACTGCTCCTTGAACTAATAAATGGATGCTCTTCGCCGTGTGTCTCCCAGCTTCCCTCCATTCTCCCGTGGCTGTGGTCTGAACAAGTTGGTTCCAGATGTGGAGCCATCGCTGGTACTAAGGGTGTCATTTCAGAAGAACCTGCAGCCCCCAGGAATGCATATGGGGAGAATGATGCTGACCACTGAGGGAAGATTGGGGGGCCGGGCAGGAAGATGGTCATGAACGTGTCCAAGTAAGCAGAGGGGAAAGCTGAAATAGGCTGCGGGCCAGCGGACAGAGGCGGGCATTCAGCTGCAGCTGCCCAGCCTGCAGAGCTCCCTACTCCCAGAGAGGCAACTTGGAGAGGAAAAGACGAAAGGAGACAGGGGTCCTGCTTGGGAGCTACCAGGGCTGATGGGAAAGCTAGGCTGGAGGCGTGCGGGGAGGAGACAACAGAAGGGCTCCAGGGCTGTACACTGGGAAGGAGTCCTCTGACATGGGAACAGAAGTCAGCACTGGAGCTGCTGGTGTCCAAAGGCACTGGCAACTTCTTCCGTTTGTGCTTCCGTCTCCCACTTCCAGCACATCTGGTCTGCTTAGGAGAGCCTGAAGAAGTGATAAAGGAGCCTTTAATCCCAGCACTTGGGAGGCAGAGAAAGGTGGATCTCTGTGAGTTAGAGGCCAGCCTGGTCCACAAGAGCTCAGGACAGACTGCAAAGCTACAGAGAAACTTTGTCTCAAAAAAAAAAAAAAAAAAAAAAGGAGGAAGCATGTCACAGAAAAGTAACAACAAAGAGAGAAAGTTGCAGGTGATGTTAAACACTTTCCAATGAATGAAGCATTTGCCAATAGTAACTATTGTAAAAATAACAAAACATTGTTCTAACTCAACAAAAATTCTGGTAAAAACTAATACACTAAAATAAATCAATTCCAGCACCTTAGTAGGTTTCTTATAAAACTGTTCTCAGGTCCAGATTCAAATAAGGTTGTAGGTAAACTGTGGAATAAGCGATTGTAGCATCTTGGTATCTTTTGGAACCAATCCGTAGTTCTCCCTGGTACAGCTGGCCCTGCACTGCCACAGGTGCCAAACCTGCAGGTCTGGCCAACTACATACGGAAAATATTCAGAAAAAAATGATCATGTGCAAAGGTCTCCATTATCCATCCAATTATAATAATATACTATAATAATGGAATATTAAATGTTAAATAAAAGATAAGTTAAAGGACATGGAAGATGTGAGCAGGTCATGCAAAATACTATGGCTTTTGATATGTAGTAGGCCTTGAATGTCTGTGATTTTGGGTGTGTGTCAGGTAGTACTTCCTGGAAGCAATCTCCCACTGATACAGTAGTACAGTTCAACCTGAATATAATCTATAATAATCCAACAACGAAAGGGCTATGTTCTAAAATGTAGCTACCTTGAACACAGGAGTACTTAGCATTGCTTTTGCTCTTTTTCTGCAGATAGCAGCTGTAGGGTGAGGTCAGGATCCTTTCCTGGAACCCGTCAACATAGCTCTGTTCTTCCTTCTGCGTGTGTGCGGAGAGGACAGCTGTTGTGAGCCCCACGTGCTCAAATTCTTCCGCAGTCAGGGCCGATGGCTGTGTTCTCAGGGTCCAGGGCTTACATGCTAAGGCAACACCCTCTGCTAAGATCACAGAAAACAGATTTAATAATTAATAGCAATTATTTATTTTTTTATTTTGTAGTTGTCTTTCAACAAATTTCGACAAACATAATTGTTAGAATATAAAAGTATCAGTACAGTATAGAAATTCCTCTTGTCTTTCTTTTACTTTAATGTATGATTATAATAATATACAGACACTTATTTAGATCTTGCTATTATAAACATTTTCCATGTCCTTGCATTTTTTGATTTTTGATCAAAATTATTAATTTAGAAACAGAGCTTGGAACTTATTACATAACCCACCTGACCTGAATTTGTGACCCTCCTGAACACTGGGATTACAAGTGTGTGCCAGCACAGTTAGCCTTTGAATTTTTCCTACTTGTTTCTTTGAGATGAAGCCTCTCTATGGAGCCCTTGCTGTCCTGGAACTTGTTATACAGACCAGGCTATTCTTGAACTCACAGAGAACCACTTACCTCTGCTTCCCGAGTGCTGGGATTAAATGCGTGTGCCACCATCCCTGGCTCAACTAGTTATTTAAATAGGCAACATATTCACATAATTCAAACACTGAGTTTTAAAAATAAATTTAGTAAATTCTTCCTGTCCCTTTCACTACCTACCCAGCTCTTTTTTATTCTCCCATAGAAAATCATTCTTTTTCTCTGTCCTTTAACTTTTTTTACGCATAGAGAAATAAGCATGAACACAGAAGCTCATCTGCCCACTGACTGTTTTCTCCAAAAACACTAGCCTACAGTTCACCCCACTTCCTACTCCTTGGGGAATTTAACAGCACACAGCCATCTCGTACTCTACATGCAGTTAAGCATTCACATTGTTCACAAGTACACCTGCATGCACCTGCACACGGATTCTTCACATGTGCACCTGCATGCACCTGTACACAGATTCTAAGTTATTTCAAGAAGAGATTACGGTGGGTGCTGTGGTTGGCTTCCCAATACCCTTCCCACCTCTCAAGGCTGTGCCACCTCCAGAAATGGGCTCTGACTTAATTTTGAATCAACTTAACTGCTGTGGCCAGCAGTGGAGCAGGGACTAGACTGACTTTCTTGCCTTAAATAATGAACACAATGGACAAAATATACGAAATAAACAGTTTCAGGGCCCTAAGCCTCAGATGGAGTCTAGTAAACTCCCTATGAGGTGAGGTTAGATCTTCCAGGAGAGGAGAAAATAAGACAGCTACATAGAGAGGACCCTAGAGAGACAGACAGCCCCAGGGCCTAGAGGAAGGTTTTCCTTGAGTCCTGGGTTGGGAAGGGACTATCAGAGACGAGATGACAGCTCAAGCTTAAAGAACACTGCTTCTTTTATCAGCCAGGCCAGAAAACCTCATTTCAGTCAGCAAGATGGCTCAGCAGGTAAAGGTGCTTGTCATGTAAGCATGGTGACTTGAATTTGATCCTAGGAATCCATGTAAAAGGAAAGAAACGGACCCCTAGAAGTTGTCCTCTGGCCTCCAAACACGCCAAATAATGCAGGAGCATAAATGCACGCACATATTTACATTTGAAAAAGCAAAAAAGAAAGTCCTGGCTTTTTGTGGCTGTGACTGAAGAATTCAGTAGCAGGGATGATCAGCTCCGCAGTGCTCAGAGCCGGTGCTGGCTTGGCAAGTTTTAAGTATGAGTCTGAAAGAACCAGTCTGTTTCCAGGAAAATCAATTTGGTCTCAAAATAAAGCCCCAAATGTTCAAGGACACAAAATACTGTGACTCATTTAACAGTAACTGGCATCCGATAAGAAACCACCAATCACACAGGTGTAGTGGTGCACACCTTTATTCCCAGCACTCAGGAGGCAGAAGCAGGAGGATCTCTGAATTTGAGTTCCAGGACAGCCAGAACAATACAGAGAAACCCTGTCACAAACTCCACCCCATCTCCCCAAAAAGATGGCTTCTCTATCAGCATTCAGAGTTTTCTGTTCTGCTGCTGTCTGTAAATGTTAGTATGTTGTCTTCTCATGAGTATTTATTTCAGAATAATTTCAAAGTCCATTTCAGACTTTTTCTTTGACCCATGATTATTTAAAAACATGTTATTTAGTTTCTAAATTATTGGGCTTTAAGTTGGACTGATTTTTAATGTAATTCACCCTAAAGCACATCTTTACATATCAGCAATCCTACATCAGAGACTTACATTTCAGCACAACGTATCTTATGTCAGCACACCTCCGAATGTGAGCTCTACAGTATCTGCTAAAGACTACCCAGGCCAACACGGCCAGCACTGTAGCTCAGTCCAGCCACCTTTTCTGCACATTTAAAAAAGTACCTTTATTATTTTAATCATGCACACCTATGTATGCCTTCTATCTCACACTCTACCTTAATTAGTCCCTGGTACTATAATGGCAATGACGGAGAACAATTTGATGCCCTGCTTCCCACTCACAGGCAACTGACACTGGGGAAGTTACTTAGCTATGGCACATAAATACCAAAGGTCGCAAGGAATGCCCCGTGATCGCGGTCATCAGAGAGGAGCTCACTCCAGGGCAAGGGTTAAACCTAGATACTAAGCTTCCCAGAATGCAAAGAGACATGAAGATTCAAATGCAGTCAAGTTGGCGAGATCAGTCATCACTAACACGATTCCTCCCGATGGTCCTCTGAGATGGAGGGTGTGCGAGCAGAGTGTGCTCTGATTAGCTGGAGAAAGTTCTATCGGAGCTGAGGTAGGCCTTCAGGATTATCAGCAAATACACAGTTTTGGGGGGTACTTTTGGGTGTGGGGAGGTGTTTGTTGTTTTTGTGGGTACAGCCCATCACAGTGGGGTGACAAGGCAGCAGTACTATAAGGTAGCTAGGCTGTGCCCTCAAATCATGAACCCAAAGAACCCCATTTCCCTGAGGTTGCAGCAGTTGGGAATTCTGTCACTGTGATAGGAAAAGTATCCAATACAGCTTCCAAGAATGAAGCACAGAGAACTGCCACAGCGACTATTCAACCCACGTTAGCCAACGTGCCACATTAGCGAAGGTAAGCTAGAGACAAGCCCAAAACTTAAGGGAAGTGTCACCACGTCACCTGTCAAGTCTATGAAAAACCAGAAAGTCAAAAGTACAGGAGGTAATGGAAAAGAATAAAGAGATCAAGATTAGAATAATTTATCAAGTAAGTATGTTGTAAGGGACATGCTCTACTTGAAGGGGTCTAGCACTCCCAAGCATGGCAAACAGGATGTTGACAGGTTTTGCCTTTTGCCCTTTTCCCCCTTGCTAAAAACAGATGACAGTTCTACAGCTAGCCACTGGGGATTATTCCCTTATTTGGCCACTTCCTCCTACTGAAGTTGACTACCAAAGTCCAGCTCTTGAAGTATGGAAGCTCAGTAGCCAAAAGTCCCCTTGTGACTGACTACCCAATTAACATGCATAATCAAAATTAATCACCTCATCTTAAGACAAAGTCTCCCTGTTTACCTTTATAAGCCACCATTTGTCTGTGGGCCACGTCTGTCTCCTCTCTATCCAGAGGCAGTCTTTTGTCCCTCCTGGGCAAGTAACCCTCCCTCTCTCCTTGGCCCCCTGGCCCCTTCTCCCTCATTCTTTAGCTCCTGGCTTTGTCTCTTATTCCCTGCCCTTTGTCCCTCTAGGGCAAATAAATCTCCTTTGTGCTGAGAATTTGATGTCTGGGTGTATCCTGTACTGACTCTGAGGGAGCCAACCCCTCCCTTTCACTACTGACTTAACAAGTCAACACAAAAGTGAGAAATAAGTGTTATTCATCTAGTTGCCAGTATACATTCAACACGTTAAAGACTTTTTTTAAAAAAAAAAAAAAAAAAGATCAGTGAAAGGGGCTAGAGAGTTAAAAGCACTGCTGTTCTTGGAGAGGATCCAGGTTTGGTTCTCAGAACACACATGGTGCTCACAACCACCTCTAACTCCAGTCTTAGGGGATATGGCACCCTCTTCCGGCCTCTCTTGGGACCAGGCACACACACGGTGTACATATATATATATATATGAAGGCAAAACATCCATATACATAAAATCTCTTAGGAAAAAAAATTTAGTCACAACAGAACCCAATGCGGTCCACAGGAAACTACATTAACAATGGCGAACACAGAGGACTTGGCCCCACGGTGCCCAGCAGCTCTAGGAGCTCCATGCCTCAACTGACCCTATTAACACACAGCATACGTAACAAAAATAGCCTGTAATACATAACCAACACAAACACGGAGACATTTCTTAATTAGGTTTACTGGATAAAAGTCAGGGAACAATGGTTAAGATACCAAACTCATAACTAAGCAAATGGTATTAATGGATTCTTTTCTCATCAAAAGGCAAAGGTGGTACCTGAGTGTAGGGGCGGGACATGGACAGTGGTGCCGCTGCAGCTGCACTGGCTTCTGCCAGACCCCGTGCTTAGTGCAGCAGGGGACAGGGACCACGCAGCACCTCCTTCAGCATCTGTGGACGGTCCAGTTGTTGGCATTTCTTTTTGAGGTTTGTTCAGGATCTGTTCAGTCTCTGGTGATACATGAGAAACTTAGAATAAAAAATCCTAAGTGGATGCTTACAGTAGTAGTCAGTAACCGACAAATAGAACCATTAGCCACACAGAGGATTCTGTGATCCACCATATAAACAAACTGAGAGAAAAAAACCACATCATCATCTCATTAGATGCTGAAAAAGCCTTTGACAAAATTCAACACCCCTTCATGATAAAAGTCTTGGAGAGATCATGGATATAAGGGACGCACCTAAACATAATAAAAGTCGATTGTCAGCATCAAATTAAATGGAGAGGAAACTCAAAGCAATTCCACTAAAATCAGGAACAAGACAAGGTTGTCCACTTGCTCCATAACTATTTAATATAGTACTTGAAGTCTTAGCTACAGCAATAAAACAACTGAAGGAGATCAAAGGGATAAAAATTGGAAAGGAAAAAGTCAATGTATCATTATTCGTAGATGATATGATAGTGTACATAAGAGAGCCCAAAAATTCTACCAGGAAACTCCTATAGCTAATGAACACCTTTAATCAAGAGGCTGGATACAAGAGTAACTCAAAAAAATCAGTAGTCCTCCTACATACAAATGATAAACGGGCTAAGAAAGAAATCAGGGCAATAACACCAGCTATATCACTCTTGGGCATATACCCAAAGGATGCTGAAGCATACCAGAAGGGTATTTGCTCAACTATGTTCATAGCAGCATTATTCATAATAGCCAGAACCTGGAAACAACCTAGATGTTCCTCAACCAAGAAATGGATAAAGAAAATGTGGTACATCCACACAATAGAGTATCACTAGCTGTTAAAAACAGTGACATCATGAAATTTGCAGGCAAATGAATAAAACTAGAAAAAAAATCATCCTGAGGTTAACCCAGACCCAGAAAGATAAACATGGTGTCTACTCACTCCTAAGTGTATACTAGATATATAATAAAGGATAACAATGCTACAACCCAGACCCAGAGAGACTAGGTAACAGGGATGTCCAGATCTCCCTGGAAAGGAGAAATAGAAAAGATTTTGTGAGTGGACTCTGGGCAGGTGGGGATGGGAACATGAAGGATCAGGTTTGAGGAGGGGATGGTGGAAGAGAGAGTACTGAAAGCCACTGCTGGAAAGGGAGGGCATTTTGGGGTCAGGAAAAACAACCTAGTGCAAGAGAATCTCCCAGGAATCTACAAGGATGAACCCTGCTAAGATTCCAAGCTATACGGGATATCTTGTGTGAACTGGCTATCTCCTGTGACCAGGCAAGACTTCAAGTGGAGGATTGGGACAGTAACCCAATCACATATGTTGTGGAGTATTCCTCTACACTGTGTGAAGATGTGTCACTGTGATTGGTTTAATAAGGAGCTAAACAGCCAAGAGGTAGGTAGGAGGTATAGGTGGGACTTCTGGACGGAGAGGTCTAGAGAAAAGAAAGGCGGGGTGACCAGCCAGATACAGAGGAAACAGGATGGGCAAAATGGAGGTGAGGTAATGAATGTGTAGAACAAAGTAGATTAAAAAATATGGGCTAATTTAAGTTATAAGAGTTAGTTACAAGCCGGGAGGTGGTGGCGCATGCCTTTAATCCCAGCATTTGGGAGGCAGAGGAAGGCGGATATCTGTGAGTTCGAGGCCAGCCTGGTCTACAAGAGCTAGTTCCAGGACAGGCTCCAAAACCACAGAAACCCTGTCTTGAAAAACCAAAAAAAAAAAGAAAGAAAAAAAAGAAAAAAAAAAGAGTTAGTTACAAACAAGACTAAGCTATAGGCTGAGCTTTTATAATTAGCAATAAATGTGTTGTCATTTTGTGAGCTGGTGGCCCAAAGAAAAATCGGACTTGTATAGTCAGATCATAACCTTTGACCTAGAGTCTGTTCTGCCTATGGGAAACACTGGGGTAAGGGGACTTAAAGATTAAGGAAATGGCCAGTGACTGGTCTAGCCTAAAACCCATGCCAGGAGAGTAAGTCCACCCTGACACTGCCTGGAACACAAGGACCCAGAGACCTAGAATAGAACCATATACTACTGGAGAAAAAAAAAAGCCAACATAATGATGCCTAATGATATTCTGTTACACTTGTAGATAAACGACTAGCCTAATGGTCATCAGAGAGGCTCCACCCAGCAACTGATGGAATCAGGTGTATACCCACAGTCAAACATTAGGTGGAGCTCAGGAGATCCTACAGAAGAGAGGGAGGAAGAATTGCAGGAGCCAAAGTAGTCAAGGATATCACAAGAAAATCCACAGAATCAACTAACCTAGCCAGGAGCTTAGTGAGAATGAACTGACCATCAGGGAGCCAGCATGGGACTATCCTAGGTGCTCTGTCTATATGTTACAGTCCTCCTGAGGAACTCCTAACAGTGGGAACAGGGGCTGCCTCTGACTTTTACAGGATTTTGGGACCCTACTCCTCATACTAGGTCATTCTTCTCAGCCTAGTACATGGGGAGGTGCTTAGTTTCACTGCAACTGTGTAAGCCATGTTTGGTTGATATCCATGAGAGGCCTGCCCTTTCCTGAAAGAAACGAAGGAGGAGTGGATTGGGGGGTGGGGAAAGAGGAGATATGGGGGAAGGGACTGGGAGGAGAGGAGGTAGGGGAGACCTTGGCCGGGATGTAAAATAAAGACAGACAGACGGACAGAAAACAATGAAGTCATCTACTGTGAGGACCCTCCTGTACCTCGTAGCGCTGTGCTGCAGTCCGCATCGTGGTTTTGCTTGGCTTCCTCTGAGGATGAAGACGTGTTTGTGCAGGATATGCACTTCCTTTTCAAGGCCGGGAGACTGTAGCTTGTCAGGTACCTACAACAACAGGATTGGGCTGTTTCTGTATTGGCTCCCTCAAGCTTTTCCCACTTCTGTGCTTTGCTTCCATGATTGAGGCCTGGGGGACTTTGTCCTTCCTTCTGGGATGAAGTCAGCCCTGATCATCCCAGCCTGCATCAGTGACTTACACTATCTCTTTCACTACGTTCTTTAACTGGTCTTCACCTCTCACACCATTTAAGCCTGACCAGCTTACACATTCACTATACCACCGCTCTGTCACAGAGAGATGCAGCTTCTTATTTTCCGCGCCCTCCACAAAGGTCAATACACTGTGAACTGTATGTAACAGGCACCCACTCCATGGCTAACAGAGGACTCAGCACCATTGTCCCCAGCAGCTCTAAGAGCTCCGCATGCATCTACTGATCCTATCCCTTGTAGTATGACGTCAACACACACATCTCTGAAGACGCGATGCGGTTCCAGTGAGCTAGGCTCGCAGGCATTTCTCACCTGATGACACTGTCGATACAGCTCATCTGCTGGTAGGATGAGCTGTGCTGTTCTCGCCTCGGGTCATCACAAGAGCCAGTATCCATGCTTTTATTTCTCAGTGTCTGAGAGGAAGAAAAGTCCTTCTGCTCATCTGAAGAAAATGAAAGCATAAGCAATTAAGATATTTAGCATGTATCAAGGAAATAGTAAGCTCATACATGTATAAACGGTTATGCAGTCATTAACCATGAGCTCAGATCTAAATGCACTGACACGGAAATATCAGTCAAGTGAATAAGGCACAAAAGCAAGCTACACTGCATGACTGCACCAGTATTTTTAAAACAGAATGGAGTATGTATACCAAAGCGACTATCAGATGAAAGGCTAGTGGGGAAAGCCCAATGCCAAGCCAATACTACTTATTACAACTGGCCAAGACAGCTAATGCTGTGTGTCACCCCGCCTTGCACAGCACCTGTCCACTGAACACCTGTGGAGTGGGTCTGTGGACACGGAGACCGGAATAACTGGATACCACACATATCCCCCGTGTTGCAAGGTAAAGCACACAGCACTGCGCCTGTTTTTGTGCTGTCCTACATGCTAGCCACTACCACAGGAAGCACTTGAAATAGGCCACTACAACCAAGGAATAATAAGAGAATACTGTATTGGTTTGAATTTGAACTGAAATCATCAAGTGTGGCTAATGGCAGAGATGTGGAGAGAAGGGGGAACACCTCTAGGCTTGAGGACTAGGGAACCTGAACCTCCTGAAGCCAGAAGAGCGAGCCAGTAAAGAAGATGGAAAAATAGGCTGAGAGGAAACCCTACAAAACGGTGCTATGGAAAAAAGAATGGCGCCGAGGTCAAAGGTGACTAATTATGTCATACTGTTGACATATTTGTGGCATTTGCTACTGCTGCTCTTAGGGATGGGCATTTTTAGCTGACCTAGAGCACCCTAACTTAACACAGCTTTATGGATAGCCTCATTCCAACTCTACAGAAACAGTATGGAACATTGGTATGCCCCTCCCTGAAGCGCCCACTAGCATTCACACAGCAACATTCCACTAATGTTCACATGACACAATAAAAACCATGAAATTCACAGTGGAGGCGTGCTCTACTGTGATGAGGACTTTGCTTGAATTTTTCTGGGTTACTGCTAAATGTAACTTTTATTTCAGGATCTGGTCCTGGATCTCAGTGAATCTGGTGGTCACATCTTAATTCTATTGTAACTTGGTCCCTTGGTCTTCACTTATTCCTCATTTTTCAGTACAGATGCGTGGTTATTTCATTTGGTGGGTTATAAAGCAACACTGTCATGATGAATTTTGTTACTTAATTGACCCAGTCTGAGCTACTCATAGCTCTTCCAAGCTCTGTCCTATGCCCCTTATGATGTCTTTTTGTCTTTCTGATCCTGGTTCTCTTTGTTGGAAAAAATATACCCAGAAATCAGGATTTTGGTGTTAGGTGTGTCTATGCTTGTAAGTACTCTAAATGGTCAGAATTGATACACAAGTCTGTATATTAACCCATATCTATCTGTCCGCCACCCTTCCAGCCAAAAGCCTAAGTTCTTCCACACACTTCTACTGCCAGTCCAGGACAATTTATTCTACAATTACTCCTTTGATTACTTGAAACTTTTACAATAGTGAGAGATCTTGTTATCATTATCTACAATGTCTGCATAAACTTGTTCAACCTTAGTATACAAAGCAGCTTCAGGATTCTTCTGGTAATAAGCCCACCAACCTGGATATGGTGTTTATGTACAGTAGTACTTTGTATTTGGCATCTAGTTAAAATATATTATTTCTTCTTCTCTAAATATACTTAACCTACCTCCTTGAGTATGTTTATGCCATCCATGGTTAGCAAATTTATCTGCACACAACCCAAGTTCTCCCTACATTCTAGAGTGGGACTAACTACCCAGCTTCCCCTCTGTAGACAGCTCCTCTCCCGTCAGTCTCAGTATGTACCCCATCACTGGTGGCTGGTTTTGCTATGGTTGCAGTTGTATTAAGAGAACAGGAGATGGCTATCTTAGGCAAGGTTCAACAACTAACCCCATGGCTTCAGTCACCCAAAGTTATGTCTAAGCTAAAAAACAACCAAGTGGAAAGATGCAGATGTTCACTCTTCCTGTTTTAGACTGTGCACTACTCTAGACAGTGGGATGCAACCTCACTGCTCTGCTCCATCCCACACAGGATATAAGTCATTTCTTTATCCAGTATAGCCACATGGTCTACGGTACCCATCCCACCATGCTGAGCCCAGTGATTCAGCATCATCATTAACAATGGACTCTTCCTGAGCTCTTTAAGGTCAACAGTAGACTACCTATGTCACAACGCCTGTTTATTCACCATCCTCCATCTAATTTCCATGGTGCACAGGGTTCACTTCCAATTATTACATTATTTCAAAGACAAAGGCTGACAACAGCACAGTCTCCCAAACTCCCCCACCACCTTGCCATGTTGTTGCTATGTTTTACTTGTAAGTTTGAAGTGCAGAACACTATTTTAGTTATTTTTCAAATAAATTAAAAATAAAACTTATTTTTCTTTTATTTCTTGTCCAGTACTTTTATTCCTTAGTGTAGATAGGTTTGGTTTTTATCATATTTCTTCAGTTGTAAGAAATTCCTGGGGCTAGAGAGATTGACTCAGTGGTTAAGAGTCAGTTAAGGGATCTAGCACCTCTAGCCTCCATAGTCTAGTGTCCTCCCTCATGTACGCACACATGTATGCATCACACACACACACACACACACACACACACAGAGAAAATAAATTGTTAAAAAATAAGAAATTCCTTGACATCTCTGGTAGAAAAGTGTGCTATCAAATTATCAGAAGTTTGAGAAACCTGCTTCTGAAGGATTCTGTACCAGGTACAACTCTGCGTTGACACTTTTTTTTCAAGATGCGGCTTACGGTCTTCCTCTGTAAACCATTTCTGGAGATGCACGGCTATGCCGTACCTACGGTTATCTGTTTCCTGCTGCCTTCATGATAGACTCTCTGGTTTTATTTTCAGCAGCTTGAACAGAAATGATTTTTATTTTTTTAAAAACTGATGTTCTTTGAATCTGCAGACTCTTGACTGTTAGACCTTCAATGGAGTCCAATCAATCCCGTATTAGGTATACTGGTGCAACCCCTGAACTTGTTCCACTGTTTCCACTGCAGTCTGTGGAATCTATATGATATCCAAAGCAATCTATGCTGGAGCTTGCCGATTCTTCTGTGTGCTGGTAACTGTCTGTCATGTCTGATTTCCTGAAACCTTTTGTTCTTCAGAGTATACAAACATCAATGTTAATCTCTTCTGACTTGGGTCATATGAACATTTTTATGTCACAGAGACACATCAGTAGGAAAATGGGCAGCAGGATATACACCGTATCTCCGGCATTTCTAACATTTCATCAGTTCCTTCTCAGAGCTGGCTTTGCTCATGGCCCGTTTTGCCCACTAGCCCAGCAATGCACCATTCACAATTATCCTACTTGTCAAGTATTTCCACTGCGGTGTGTTTGTAGTCCTTTAGTGACCACTTTGTTTCTTGTCTTTCCATAAACTTCATTTCTTATCAAAACTGTCAGAGACAGCAGAGATGGAGCAGCCACATTCCTGTAAAGGCCTGGGCTTGAATTAATGCAACCTTAGGCTGAGCTTGCAGTCTGTTCTATGTTTTTCTGAATGACTCACTTCCAAAATCCTCTAGCCAGACTCTGTGCTTCAAGTGGTGGCTGTTTTGAGAGTGTCTTGAATACCTGCTCCATTTTCAGCTCTTGTTCCCCCTTTGCATATCTCCCTTGTAACTTCCCTGATTCAATAAGCCAGTGCACTTTCTGAGTCAGCCAGTCAGCAGCAGTCCAGTGTTTGCATTGTCCATCTGTGAAACAATAGTTTCACAAGCCTGAGCCTTTCCTTGGATTTCAGAACTGGTAGCAGCTGCTTCAGTATTCCAACGGGGTAAAGAAAGGTCGTAGATTTGCTGTCTTTTTCACTCTAAGTGTGGATGGACTGATGTTCTTTCTTCATTTCTGAGCAGAAAACGGAAGCACTTGCATATCTCTTTATGAATGGGGTTAGTGACCTTATAAAACAGCTGGAGGTTGATGTGGTGGCATGCACCCAGTCCTAGCATGTTGGAGGATGTTAGAGAAGGATTGTTTTACCTCAGGAATTTGAGATAACTGGAGTGATGAGCGCCACCTCAAAGCCATGGGGGTGACAATGGAGGGACGAGCTAAGACTCTTTTTGTTGTTTTTGTTCTTCTGTCATGTAGGGAGAGGTTTTCCTTTTCCTTGAAGGTTGTGGGTATTCAAACTCATTCTTGGAAGCAGGAAGTGTTCAGGGCTCACACTGAACACTGTATTTTCCATACCTTGACCCTAGACACCTTACCTGTCCACACTGTGAGGAATAAATGCCTTCTTGTTTGAAAATTACAACATCAAAAACAAAACAAAACAAAGCCCTGTGAGGAAGACAGGTCTCATTTTGCAGACCGGGCTGGCCTGGAACTTAACAACAATCTACCAGCCTCTGCCTTCTGATTGTAGGAGGTATATGCTATTGCCCTGGAGAGCTCAGAAACTTTGACATAATATTACACAGAGCCCAAAGCAGTAATATGTGCTCAGTAGTCTGAATTGCTTTGGGGTGTGGCAGTGTTACTAATGTGTGCAGGTGAGTAGAGATCAAACGTCAATTTTGGTATCTTCTGTAATTCCCCACTTTGGTTTTTAAGATCAGGTCTCTCACCGAATCAGGAGCTGCACTGGGTAAATTGGCTGGCTAGTGGGTCCCTGGGATCTGACTGTCTCTACAGACTGTCTCTACATCTTAGCACTGGAGTTGCCAGCATGCATGGCCATGCCTGGCCTTTACATGAGTCCTGCGGATCCGAACTAGTACTCACACTTGTGCAGCCAGGACTTTACCCACTGACCCACCTTCCTAGTCTGCTGCCTTAAAAGTCCTGACAGATCTTCAACAACCCAGCTACTGTTACTACTGGTCTTAGAAAGTAAATGTCACCCATATTATGTAAGGTTACAATTGACAATGATGAATACTATTATAAAATTTACATGATCAAATCCATGATTTCTAAAACTGTATTAAACGTCAAGGAGAAAAATAAAAGAACAGGCAGTTAAGTTAAAAACAATCATGTGTAAAATGAGAAACAGGGAAGTAAATAAATCAATGCACACAGGACGGCAGTGTGGCTCAACGGAAGAGTGTTTGCCTAGCAAGACCCTAGGTTCCATTTCCCGCTTAGTTATATTCTATCCTGCCTTAGGCCAAAGCAGCTTCTCTATTAACCAATGGTAAGAAAACATATTCACAGCATACAGAGGGGTATCCCACATCATCTCCTCTTTTCTGTCTTTGTAGAGCTAGCCAGTAAGAAGCCTGAGGCACTGGCCAAACAGTTTGTAATTAAGATTAAGCTTCAGAGTGGTTGGTTATTCAGGAACTGGCGAGTGGGAAAGAAACCTCCAGACAGAGTTGCTAACAGGGAGTGGAACCAGCCCAAGAGAAAGAAGTGTGTTGTAGTCAACAGAGCTGAACAGAGCTGAAGATCTAAAAAGCATTTTGACATCGGGCAGAGAGCTGCAGAGTTTGGAGTTTGTACAGCTGGCTTTTGGTCTTTTGTTCAGTATTTCCTTGCTATGCTCCCTTTCCCATGTTTTAGAAAGCTAATGTTTATTCTGTGCCAATATATGTTGGAGGTATGTGATCTTTTTGATTTTGAATTTTATGAGGATTATAGTTAAGAGAGTGTCACGCTTCTCAGAAGAGACTCTGAAATAAGTTTGAGACTATTATTGATTGTGGGAACTTTTGAAGTTGGACTAAATGCATTTTTTTTTTTTGCATTATGATATGGCTCCAAGTCTTTGGGGGCCAGGGAGTAAGTATAATGTGGTTTGAAAGAAAATGGCCCCCAGAGGGAGTGGCACTATTAGAAATGGCCTAGTTGGAGGACGTGTATCACTGTGGGGACTGGCTTTGAGGTCTCTTTTGCTCAAGCTTCCCTCAGTGTGACTTTCAGGTGACTTCCTGTTGTCTCTAAGTAGCACTCTCAGCTACTCCAGCACATCTGCCTGCACACCACCACGCTCCCCATCATGATGATAATAACTGAACTCTGAAACTATTAACAAGCCACCCCAAGGAAATGTTTCCTCTATAGGAGTTGCTGTGGTCATGGTGTCTCTTCACAACAAAAGGAAACCTAACTAAGACAGATGGTATCAAAATAATTAAATCTTTATTAAGGTATATTGAGCTATATTATAAAACTGTTTAGCTTCCAAGTGGTATTGTGCAGCCAGTATATCACTGCTGTCGATACTATTCCATTTTCTGGGAAATTCTGCAGGCTAGAGAGCAGCACAGAGCTCAGGGGTTTTGCTCAGAGTGCATACATGCAACTGTTTATCAAGAGACAGACTCAGGAGCAGCTGAGGGCCACTCTGTTGACTTACCACCACCCTGCAGCTCCACGCACGTGTCCATCACTGGCTTGACTGATCTGGCCATTGACTCAATGTACAGCTGTTGACCCACATTCTTAATTTTGTTTACACTGGTGTAGACCTGCTGCAAGGTCATCTTAGGGAGAAGAATGACAAAACAGGGTTTATAAGCATAGAAGTGTGCACTAAAAGATACACAAACAATACAGGCTTAACCTCTGGTTCTCTGAGACAAGACTAAAAGCAGCCCTCACTTCAATTCCACTTCTTGCAGAGCCACCGTACAATGATGCCAATCAAACTGTACGTCCATCTACTCATGATACACTGCTTTTCGGAAAGCATACAGTTAATCCAAATGTTGCCTCTGAAGACAGGGTTCTCACCATGTAGCCCAGCCGGCTCAGAACTCTTGCTTTCACCCTGCTGGAATGGTAAGCATTTGCCACTAAGCCTATCTCAGATTTTTTTTAACAGACATTTATTTATTTCCATTCACATCATTTTCTAAAATAAATTTAAATTTGTCAAATGATAAGTCCTAAGAAGTCACGGGTACAGGAGCTCCACTGACACATTGCATCTGCACAAATACATCTTCCACACACCTGCTCCTTCTGTGCTTCCTCCACACAGTGTCCACTTGACTCACTGGAAGAGGGGATGCTGACGTGCTGCTGCTCCTGTGAACCGCTGCTGCCCAGGCTCCCGTAACCACTGGAAGCACTGGCGTGAATGGGCTAGAAGGAAGGGGCCAGCTCAGTCACTGCTGTGTGCGTGGTAAGGATGTTCACCTCAGAGCTTCCAGCCTACAACTACCACACAGCAAAGGGCTTCTTAAACGCTACAGTAGGTATGGAGACTGTCAGCCTGCACGCTGGTGTGAGACGCCTCAGTGCCTTCCTACTCTCAGGGCAGGCCTAACTTTCTAGTCTACGTAGAGATTGCAGCAACATGTCCTTTTAGATGCCATAAGGTAACTGCTTTTTGTAAATCATAAATAATTTTATTAAATAAAACAAATTTCAGTTCCTTGTGCTCAATTTAGAATAGACAAAACACATAAAATAAAAACATAGATTTAAAAAAAAATTTCAGAGACTTCATGAACCCTGAGATTTTATAAAAAACATTTCTGAAAAGCTCTGGGCTGGGGCTGGAGAGATGGCTCAGTGGTTAAGAGCATTGCCTGCTCTTCCAAAGGTCCTGAGTTCAATTCCCAGCAACCACATGGTGGCTCACAACCATCTGTAAAGAGGTCTGGCGCCCTCTTCTGGCCTTCAGGCATATATACAGACAGAATATTGTCTACATAATAAATAAATAAATATTTTAAAAAAAAAAGCTCTGGGCTCACATTCAACACTGACACACTTAACTTTATTTACTAACAGGACCCATCTTCGGCTGTTCTCTCCAACAAGTAATTTTCCTCTTCTTTCTTTGTAATGACAAGAAATACTGAGACCAACCATCTCACTCTTCTACTTTTAAAAACGGAATTATTTTAAAAGACACTGACATTCAAGCTCAGGAGCTGAGCACACTGCTGGTGCCTGAAGCATGAGAAGAGTTTCTCATGAAGAAAAGAAAGTGAGGGTCTGCCCTGACCCTGCGGCCCAGTCTGTTGTGCTGAAGTAAGTGCAGCCAGAAATGTCCTGTGCATCGCACTCAGAATAACAAACCAAATGAACAGAACTTAATCCATAGAAGCAAAGAGAAGAGCAAACATTTCTAAGATGTGGAGGTAAAGGTTCCTCTCTCCTCAGTGTGTTCTTGTGGTCTGACCTCACTGAGACCAAACTAACAAAAACACCATCTAGGGAATCGTGTGCTTTTAAAACTTTACCTGCAGAAGAAGTCTGTGAATCTGTTCTTGCAAATCTGCTATGTCTTTGTCGTTATTAAGGGCCTTTTTTATTTTGGTAGCAAAAACATCCTCATTTAAAGGGCTCCTATAAAATGTCAAGAAAAACAATGAGCCAAGCAATCAAATTTATCTAAAATGAAGACTAACATGCTTGCAACAGACCATTTAAAGAATCAGCTATGTTCTGATGAACCAACAACTCTTTAACTCTAGATTCAGAAAATATGGAGTTAAAATTCCCAAAGAATCAAAATAGACATAACAACTCAAACCCACGTGGTCCTGGGAATAAAACACAGGACCTTGAACAAGCTAAGAAAACAATCCACCATAAATTACATCTCAGCCGTTGTTTTTTGAGTCAAAATCTTGCTACAATTAGCCCAGGCTAGTTCTACCTCCTGAGAACTGGGATTACAGGCAAACACCTGCACAGTTTAAATTTCTCTACAGCACTGATCTTTACGTAACAGGTTCAGGGCTGTGTGTGTGTGTGTTTGTGTGAATTTAGTAAAAGTATTTATATACATAAAGCCAGCGATAAGATACTTCTTTTGTTCCTAAGAGATTCAGTAAGGACTGGTTTAAAAATCTGACTGAGTGAACCCTCTGTACAAATGTTAAGACCCTAAAGTTGCCAAGCTTACATACTTAAAGCTGGGCTGGAGATGGCTCAGTGGTTAAGAGAACCTGTTACTCTTCCAGAGAACTGGAGTTTGGTTCCTACCACCCATGACAAGTGACTTATAACCTCTGGCATCTGCACATACCCACATGCAGTCATATACACCTAATCTACACATAGTTAAAAAAAAACATAGTAAAAAGAAACTTTAAAAAATTTAGTTGGGCATGGTAGCACATGCATTTGATCCCAGGACTTGGGAGGCAGAGGCAGGAGAATCACTGTGAGGTCAGCCTGGTCTACATAGTAAGTTCTAGGACAGCCAGAACTACATGGTGAGAGCTTGGCTCAAATCACCAAAAATAAATAAAATATAAAGCTACTAATCACCTATGCTACCTGATAAAGATGCTCTACAACCCCCCCTAGTGGTGAATATGAGGCTGTCACACTCCTACCTCCCACCTCATTTATAAACTTCAGAGGATTTAAAACCTGAGCTAATGGGAGCTCACCATCTCCAGCTGGACAGGGAAGAAACCAGCACAGGACCAAACGAGACCCTCTGAATGTGGGTGACAGTTGTATGGCTGGGGGAGTGATGGAGGAAGGTCATTGGCTAATAAAGAAACTGGCTTGGCCCACTTTATTGGTTAGAACATAGGTGGGTGGAGTAAACAGAAGAGAATGCTGGGAGGAAGAGGAAGTGAAGTCAGAAGTAATGCAGCTCCTCTCAGAGCCAGACGCCTCAGACAGAGAGGCATGCTCCGCTCTCCCGGGCAGATGCACGCAATGAAGCTCCTCCAACCCAGGATGGACGTAGGCTAGAATCTTCCCGGTAAGCGCACCTTGGGGTGCTTACACAGATGATTAGAAATGGGCTAAATTAATATGTGAGAATTAGCCTAGAAGAGGCTAGATAGAAATGGGTCAAGCAGTGTTTAAATGAATATAGTTTGTGTGTTGTTATTTCGGGCATAAGCTAGCCAGGCGGCCGGGGTGCTGGGGACACAGCCCCGTGGCTCCATATTTCAACAGGGGAGATTGTGGAGCCACTGCTGCTTGTACTGGCTTTTTGGGAACCTATTCTCTTTGGATGGATACCTTGCTCAGCCTAGATATAGCAGTGAGGGCCCTGGACCTTTCTCAAAGCAATGCTCCTTACCCTCTCTGAGGAGTGGATGGGGAGTTAGGTAGGGGAGTAGGTGGAGGGGACAGGAGGGAGGGAGGGAGTGGGAACTGGGATTGGTATGTAAAATGAAAAAAGATAGTTTGTTTTCTATTTTAAAAATGTAATTAGCCTCCCTCCCCCCAAAAATAAAATCTGCCACTGAGGTGCTTCAGGGTAAAATCGTTTGTCATGTAAGCCTGATGACTGGAGGGATCTCAGAGCCCATGGTGAAAGGTGATACCCACACAAGATGTTCTCTGAGCTCCACATGTGTGTGTCATGTTACATATTCCCCCATCTTACATGATAAATTAAAAAACGAAATAAAAACTACCTGAATATAGTGAATACCAACAAAGATGACAAAGAGAGGAAACTGACATTAAGACCTCCTCCTAAAAACTATGTTAGTCTCTAAGAAAATGAAAATAACATCCTCAAAAACCATAAAGCAGCAGTTCTCAACCTGAGGGTTGCAACAACCCCTTTGGCCAATCCCTATCTCCAAAAAATTTACATTATGATTCATAACAGTGGCAAAATTACAGCTACAAAGTAGCAATAAAATAATTTTATGGCTGGGGTCACCATAACATGAGGAGCTGTATTAAAGAGTCCCAGCATCAGGAAGGGTGAGAGCCACACTGTTAGAGAGAGATCATCATTGTTCAAGTGCTTTACAAGAACCATCCTACAATGGATGTCAACCTCTCGAGGTCCCTAAGTTACTAAGGGGAGATGAGAGATAAAGGAAGGGACCAGTTTAGGTACCAAGGCTCACACATTCGTCATGACAGGAAACTACCTCTTGGGTCCTCGGTAGAGTGGGTACTGATGAGGAATACTGAGTCAGATATATCACTCATGAAGTCTTAAGATGTAGGCATTACCCCTGACATTTGGTGTGAGGCTGGGTGATGTAGCCCTGTGGGACAATGTTTGCCCAGCTCAGGCTGGATGGAAGAACTAACCAAGAAACAGCCAAGTGAGAAGCCAAAGAGAGGGCTCCGTGGTTAGGAACACTTTCTGCTTTAAAGAGGACCTGGGCTTGGTTCCTGGCTCTTACAACAGCTGCTTACGACAGTCCGTAACTCCAGTCCCAGAGGACCCAGTGTCCTCTTGTTGCCTCCACGGACCCAGGTACGTACTCAGTATACTTACATACATGCAAGCAAAACACTTATACTTACAAAATTAAATCTTTAAAAAACTTTAATTTAATTTTTTAAGGTTTATGGTGTTTTGCCTGAGTATATGTCTGTGCACCACGTGCATGCCTGGTGCCTGTGAAGGCCAGAAGAGGACACTGGCTCCCCTGGACCTGGAGTCACAGATTTACAGTACAGCTACCGTGACCTAAGAGCTGAAACACTGCCCAAGACTACAGTCATCACAGTGACCTAAGAGCTGAGACACCACCCAAGACTACAGCCATCACAGTGACCTAAGAGCTGAGACACCGTCCCAACACTACAGTCATCACAGTGACCCAAGAGCTGAGACACCGTCCCAACACTACAGTCATCACAGTGACCCAAGAGCTGAGACACCACCCCAAGACTACAGCCATCACAGTGACCCAAGAGCTGAGACACCGTCCCAACACTACAGTCATCACAGTGACCCAAGAGCTGAGACACCGTCCCAACACTACAGTCATCACAGTGACCCAAGAGCTGAGACACCACCCCAAGACTACAGCCATCACAGTGACCCAAGAGCTGAGACACCGTCCCAACACTACAGTCATCACAGTGACCCAAGAGCTGAGACACCACCACCCCAAGACTACAGCCATCACAGTGACCCAAGAGCTGAGACACCGTCCCAACACTAGTCATCACAGTGACCCAAGAGCTGAGACACTGTCCCAACACTACAGCCATCACAGTGACCCAAGAGCTGAGACACCGCCCAAAGACTATAATCATTATTAGAAAAATCAGAGTGCTGGCAGTGCCATGAAAGTAGCAAAAAAACTTAACTCAATCATGTTCGTCTTCCATGACAGGTGACATCTGCCCCACTCACCTCTGTACCCCAAAGCACCAACTGATGAACTTACGTTCGAACTTTATGCCGACCAATGATGAAGGAAACCTTCCGGCTCCAGGGGTTCACAAAGCTGGACCAGCTGGAATCCAGAATGACATAATCTCCATTCTGAGTGCAGAATCTGATGGGCGAGTGCTCAAATGGAGGATGGCCAACATACTTTAAAACTATGTAAAGCAACAAGATTAAAACAAACTTTACACAGATAAGATTGCAAGTGTCCTGCTTCAGTTATCACTTTAAAGGAGGAAACAATTACTTTAGAAGTTCAATACATTTCTTATCAGAACCAATTAGTGACAAATAACAGCGTCCATAAAGGAGCAGGCCCCACCTTTTTGGTGTATGGCAACCATCAGAGGCCGATCTTCAGGGTGCACATATGTTAAGATGGATGTTCCAATCAGATCCTGAGGTAGGTAACCCAGCAAAGGCACAGCCCTGGGGCACAGGTACACAGCACAGGAAGCATGTTATACTGAGCAAGTAATTAAGTAGTTTTTATATACTTAAAAATACCCACTCAGGCTGGCAACATAACTCAGTGAGAGGCTATGTGCTTAGCATACTTAAGGATCCCATCTCCTGCTCTGCAAAATAAAACATCACCACCAAACCCTAACTTCCCTATTTAATTCTAAATAGGAAGAACATTTATGAAAAGATGTCCATTAATGCACCCATGAAAGCAAAAAAACCTATATAAGCTAACTATGTCAGTAGTCATCTGATACACTGCATCAAAATCACCTCATTCCCTAAGAGCAGGCTTGCGGGCTCACTGTGAACTCATGAATCACACACTCTGGAGATAACCCATGGGCATGAATTTTTATCAAGTTCCTCATGAGTCTTGCGCTCTTTGTTACACTATCATTTAGAAAGAGCACATGTAACAGGATGCTAATGATAAAACGGGCTGTGAACTTACACAGCGTTAGTACAGTGTGGTAAAGCCTTTAGGAGGCAAAGCCTAGTGGAAAGAAGTTGGGGTACTGGGGTATGCCCTCAGGCCTTGTCTGAATTGGCATTAACTGTCAACCTGAACAGCTTAGAATCGCCTGATGGAAGTCTCAACTGAATAACTGTCTTCATCTTAATAGTCTGTGGACATGTTTGTGAGGGACTGCCTCAACTGTCTACAGTGGGCATCATTTCCAGTGGTCCCAGGTTAGGTAGGAAAGCCAGTAAAACGTGAGGCAGTGGGTAAGTCAGGGAGTGAGCCAGCAAGCAGCATTCATTCCGGAAGGAAGCAGATTAACGTCACTGTGTGCTCCCACCATGATGTCCTGCCCCACCAGAGATTTCAAAGTCATGGAGCCAGCTGAGTGACCATGGCCTGGAAGTGTGCAGGGATTAAACCTTTCTTCCCTCCTTACAAGTTGGCCATTTCCAGTATTTCACTACAGTAACCAAGACTAATGAACAAACACATGGTTAATACTGACTGAATACAATGTAGTGGCCAAATCAAATATAGTATCCAAAGGCAACTATCATGCCAACCAATACTCACAGCAATGTTTTCAGAATGGCTTAGACAAAACAGGCTCCGTAAACATTTTCTGTGCTTTGTTTTACACTAAAGCATGTTACCCAGATTTTCAAATTTCAAGAATAAGTAAAATTCTGAAATAAATGTGCATATGTGGGGCTGTATATATATACTAGCTGATATCAACATTTGCTTATTTGGCTTTTTGAGATAGTGTTTTTCTGTGTAGCCCTGGCTGTCTTAGAACTCACTTTATAAGCCAGGCTGGCCTTGAATTCACAGAGATCCACCTGCCTCTGCCTTCTGTGTGCTGGGATTAAAGATGTGCACCACCACCGCCCGGCCAACATTTGCTTTATCCAAACAAAAATACAAAAAAAAAAAAAAAGGAGCTGGAAAGATGCTCAGCAATTAAGAACACTGACTGATCTTCCTGAGGACCTGAGTTCGATTCTCAGAACCCAGATGGTGGCTCACGACCATCTGTAACTCCAGTTCCAGGGGATCTGAAGCTGTCTTCTGTCCTCCTTAGAGGTGTATCCACACGTGGTACAGACATACATGCAGGCAAAACACCTGTACACATAAAGTAAATTTTTTTCTAAAAAATACTGAAAAACAGCAATAAGCATCATCTATCACTGTTAAAAAAATAACAAAATCATTTTAAAATTGCCCTAAAAAGAAAGGTAATGTAAGTTCAAAATAAAGAAAAATTCTTAAAACAGCCTTTATTAAAAACGTATGTCCTCTTTTTTTCTCTCTCTTCAGACTACGATATTTAGCATAACTGATTTGAGCATATTTGTCAAATGGAAATACCACTAGAGTAAATGCTAAAGATTTTAAATCTTGGTCCTAAATTGAGTATAGTCAGATGTTTTTGGTGAACTGATCCTTGATTTATGTAAAATAAGAGTAATAACACCTGCACCACTTATGCCTCAATGTTATGAGATCTAGGAAAGTATCACATAAATCACTTTTAATAATACAGTATGCAAAATGTTTACACTAAAATTCAGACAACAGGTACAAGCACTTGCCTCCAAGCCCGCTGGCCTGAGATGCATCCCTGAGACCCAAACAGTGGAAGGTGAGACCCAACACCAGAAAGATGTCCTCTGACCCCACATGTACATGGAAGCACACACACACACACACCAATAAATAAATGTGATTTGAAAATGTATTTAAGAGGACTCAATTTAAGCTGCAGGCAAACCAACTGTCACAGAATACTCAACAGTACACAAAGCATAACACAGACCTCTAGTACCTCGGTTTGTCTTCCAAAACAAATCTCTTTTAGGCTCAAAGAAATATTTACCTTTCATCTACTTCAAGAAACACACATCCTGGGGTGTGTGTTGTAGTAAAAATTCTTTTATTTACAGGGATTCGAGGAGCTATTAAAAAAGGAGAAAGGCTGATTAAGGGTCAAATATGCAATTAGTGATCTAGTAAACTAGCTACTAAACATACAAGGTATAAAATCTCAAAATGAAACAGCAGAAATCTAACTTAAATCAAAGGTCTGACTGCCATGAAGTCAAAGCTACAGTAAAATAATGATAGTTTCCATTATTAACTTGATTTTAAAGAGATCAATATGGAATGACTATATTATGGTTAATTTAAATACAAAAAGTCTGCTGCATTCTTAATAGCTTATTTCTTTATCATAAATATCTAGTAGGTAAAGTGGGAATAAGGGAAGGGCCGAATATTTTTTGGTGGCAGTGTGTAACTAAATGAAAACACTTGCAATAGCACTAAAGCAACTTGTTGTAGAATAAAATTAGTACCATCGAGTCAGGCAAGTTCTGATCTAAAACGTGCACTGAAAAATGCAGTCCACACTCTGAGAGTAGGCTTATATCAGTTACTTCAGCATGATGCCAATTGCAAGAAACCCTAAGTGAATACACAAAAAGGCACCCAATGTTTGGAGCTACTCATGAATACATACAACACAGATACATTTCAACTGTGGCTACCGAGGCAGTTACAGGAGTGCTGTTGTTATTGTTTAACCTATAAATTAATTGTTTATTATTTCCTTTTAAAAAAAATTTATGTGTGTACATGTTTGGTCTGCATGTATGTGCAGGATCAGGTCAGAAGAGGGAGTGAGATCCCCTAGATTGGAGTTACAGGCAGCTGTGAGCCACTATTTGGGTGCTGAGAAGTGAACCAGGACCTACTGAAGTGCAGCCAGTACTCCTAACTGCTGAGGTATCTCTTTAGGCCCTTTATCTTTTTGTTTTTCTGTTTTTGTTTTCGAGACAGGGTTTCTCTGTAGCTTTGGAGCCTGTCCTGAAACCAGCTCTTGTAGACCAGGCTGGCCTCAAACTTACAGAGATCCGCCTGACTCTGCTCCTGAGTGCTGGGATTAAAGATGTGTGACACCACCACCTGACTTGTAATTAATTTTTTATCATTGTGCCCCCAAACTAATTTTTCCAATAGTCCTACGTTTTCACTGTGACTTATAGGGTGGTAATTTGTAGGAAAGCACATATCATGTCTCATCAGAGCCAACTATGTTTTTAGGTAGTAAATGGAAGTTGCCTATACACAAGTTTAGAAAAGGATTTCTGTTTATTGAATATACATACTGCAATTTCTGGAAGTTTCAAAACACTTGTAGAACATGTTGTTTCAGTCGGGCGGTGGTGGCGCACAACTTTAGTACCAGCACTTGGGAGGCAGAGGCAGGCGGATCTCTGTGAGTTTGAGGCCAGCCTGGTCTACAAGAGCTAATTCCAGAACAGGCACCAAAGCTATATAGAGAAACCCTGTCTTGAACCGCCCTCCCCCAAAAGAACATGTTGCTTCCCCCTCCATCAAGTGTTGAGAATCAAACCCAGGGCCTTGTAGTTACACAGCATGACAAGCACTCTACCACTGTGCTACACCTCCAGCTTTTGGTTTGTTGAGGCAGGGAATCACTATGTAGCCCAGGCTAGCCTTGAACTTATTATGTAACCCAGGGCATTCATGCCTTGGTCCCTCAAGGCATGTGCTACCTAGCAAATGCAATCATTCTTGTGGCTTCTTCATGAAATGATTTTAGTGCTATTATTTCATCTAAGATAGGTTCTTGTAAAAGGCCACAGAACAGGTCACCAATAGAGAAGGGACTAAAGTAACTAATATCTATCCAACTCTGCTGCTGACGTCACACTGCGGCAGTGATAACAGCACAGGAAGTCAAGGTCAGCAAACAGCACCCAGTAAACACCAGCTAGAAGTGAGTTTATGGCCCACATTGGACATGAAGCAGCCTTCTGCCCGGAAACCATAGGAACAGCATTCCCCACACTCCTGTCTGAACACCGCATTCTGCCTCTCACTGAGCACAGGACATCCTGGCTTACCTTCATAACCAGAGTGAATCTTCTCAGCCAGTGCTAGACAGCAAGGCTCTGGTTCTGGCTGGGCAGAGCTATGGACGTGAACCAAATACGGGAGGATCCAGAACGGAGAGTAATGCTTCTTTTGTGCTCTGTCTCCACCTCCACTGAAGAGATCAAAGTGATTAGTGCTGATAGTGGTGCACTCCGCCCACTGTGAAAAGGCTGGGGATGCTCCACCGGGAATTCCCAACACAGAAAGACCCAATCTAAAACGTTTAAAGATGCTTGTTTCCCCAAAGGGAAGGTTAGCTTGAAATCTTAGTACCTCTGGGCAATAACGATCATCCACTACTCACTGCCTAAGAAGTTTTATGAAGGGCTGCTCACATCACTGTGAGAGTCACCCCACCCATGGCTCATGACCAAGCCCCAAACTCCCGTTGACTCTTACTCTTCCACTGTGAGGCACACCAAGCACTACAAACAGAAAATGGGGCCCCATGTGATCACATGGCTAAACCCAACTATAGTGCACCCCTCTTCTGTTGTTAAAGAACTGACCAAAGCTCCAGCTACTTTCTTGGTTGCTGCAGGCTTGGTTGAAGGTCAGCAGTGTCCTGCAAAATGGCTGGCTGGGGAAAGCACATTAAAACCTAGCTGCCTAGCCTGGCCTCTGGAATAGAGACAGACCCCTTCTCAGTCTCACTGAGGAAGCTCTGAGGATGTGCACAAAGCTTTCTCCTCTATGCTACTGGGACATGCCACATGCTGTAGAGTCTAACTGTCAAAGAGTGAGCCACTCTTCTTTGTCTGCAATCAAGTCTCTCTTCTAACTTAATCTAGATTAGTGACCCCAATCCCAAGGCAGTCCCAGTGTACTGGCTACCCTCACTATGACCCTGCTTCCTATTTTAGTCATGTGGATGACAGCCTTCCCCCAACTACACAAGAGTTCATGCTCCATTTGTCCAGCTTCCCCCTATAAAGAACTTCTTCAGCCTTGTCCATGCCAAGCGTTCTAAATGTCACTTATATACCCTTGCACTACACATTTCCTGCTGGCCTGCACCTCTACCTAGAACTATGTTTTCATACAGTCTCAATGAAAACCCAGATTAACTCAGACACAGCTCCTCTCCAGGAAGGTGCTTTTGCTCCATGCTCTCGGGTCTCAGATATTTCCACCCAAGATTCCTATCGCCAATCCCTCATTCCTTTTTATATCACGTTCCAATTATAACCCATAAGTCCTTGCTGTGGGACAATGGTCTGTACCCTGTCAATTGTATTTTAAATAAACACTCATTGGCCAGTAACCAGGCAAGAAGTATAGGTGGGGTGAGAACAGGAGAATTCTGGGAAAAGGAAAGGTTCAGTCTGCAGTCATCACCCAGACAGAGAGGAAGCCAGACACAGAGCAAGTAAGATGTGACTGCCTCACCAAAAAAAGTACCAAGCCATGTAGCTAACACAAACAAGTATTATGGGCTAATAGTTATGAGTTAATAAGCCCGAGCTACTAGGCCAATCAGTCTATAATTAATGTAGACCTCTGTGTATTTCTTTGGGGCTGAATGGCTACAAGACCAGGCAGGACAGAAACCTCAGTCAATAAGTCCTGGCAAAGCAACCAATTTTTTTTCTTCTACCACCTCACTAGCCTCACTTTACAACCCACGCCTTCCAGTGCTACAGCTGACCTGGTCCTTCACACAGCAGTCCACAGTCCTTTCTAATTTAAAATGTGCTTTCTTGATAAATGAGACCTCTTAGCACTGTACACAAATACTGCAGCCCCAGAGTAAGGACTGACCCTCACCCAGATGGGGTCTCAATGGTAATGTCATTTCCCTCCACCTGCAAAAGGGAACACCTGGAGAAAGCATGACTCAGAGTCTGGCATGTCACATGACTAAAGGCAAAGGAGGCTGTCAAAGACCATGTGGATACTGCTAGAAGGGCAGGGAATCGATCCTAACAGTGTTCTTACTGGTCAAAGGCCAGGACGGTTTTATCATCATAAGGTGAATGGTAACTTTGCTGTTTAGAAATACATTCTGAAATTCTAATGGAGGAAATGTCTGAGTTCTGAGATAAGAGCAGAGGGAAGAACTGGTGGAGGAACAGGTGGCACCAGGCTGGCCATGGATTACAGTTGGGTAGTCAGAACATACTGGCTCATTATAGTATTTTCTTTGCTTGTTAGGTTAGAATGTCCTAAGGAAAAGGTTTTGAAAGCAATTAATCTCAACCAAATACTTCCTTCTGAGTGTAAAATTTCCTGTGATCTAGGCCTTGACTTTCCATCCACCCTCCTCTCTTCCCTTCTGTTCCAGCCAGGTTCTCCATTAACCTTTCCACACTCAGGTGTGTTCCACCCCAGGGCCTTTGCACATCTGTTTCTTCCACATGGACCATATTTCCTCAGAAACTTCCTTAAGGCTGCCTGGTTTACTCGCTCACCTTCTTTAGGGTGCAAATGGGACTCCTCAGAGAAGGGTCCCGTCCTCGCCAGCTGGATGTGCTTTGCCACCACCAAAGTCCCCAGCCAGTGCAATGGCAGTGAGAGCAATGTGGGGCTCTAAGCGGTCATGGGAGCACCACCATAACGAGGGGATCAATGCAGACCCTGTCAGAGTGGGCTAACTTTGGTGAGAGCTAGCTGTTATGGTGTCTGGCTCCCTTTGCCTTTTTGCCCTTCATCATGAAGCCCTTGCCTAATGCCGAGCAGACACTGGCTTCATGCTCTCTGACACCAGAACGACACGCCCAAACCCTTATCCTCTGCAAACTAGACACTCTTAGGGGTTCTGTTACAACAGAAAACAGACAAAATGTCTGAATAAAACAGCAATTTCTCCACTGTCTTCACGAGAGAACTCGCTCTCTTGTCTGGAATTTGTTGCTATTGGACACATTTGTATTTATACATTATTGGTTTCCTGCTTACAGAGTTTAAACACATGGGGACCAAAGACATTTGCTTTGAGCAGTCTGACTCAGACAGGACCTACAAGTATTTAGTGTGATTTAAGCCCGTGTGTCATTTTTGTCGGGAGCAGAGTGTGAGGTCATTGTACCCACAGATCTCCAGAGAAACCAGGAATATTAGGCACACAGGATTTTGTCTTTCCAGTGGGAAAGATGAAAAACCTGTCCTTCTATCCAGAAAGCTGGGAACTGGAAGAGATTAACAGCCTGGTGATCTGTGTCATCTGTTGGGCCAGGCCACACAAGCTCCTACATCGAGTACTGGATGTGGTTAGTAACTGAAATGGCCCTGATAGCCAGAGGCTCCCTCAAGCTCTTACAACCAGGACCAGAGGTAACTTAACTACCCAAATGACCTCTAGCCTATGTCTACAATGCCAGACCCTTAGGCCCTGAAGCTAGCACAGGCAGTGTATCTCTAGCCCCCATCTGCTTGGGGGGAATGACAATACCCCGAGTTGAGTTTAATGTAATTATGCTTCTCTGTGCACTGGGGACTGTATTACCCAAGGAAGCCTTTTTTTTCTTCTTCTTCTTCAAGTTGTACTGGGCTTAAATACACTGGGAATAAATCTCCTGTCATTAACTCCATGAAGTCTGATCCAGGCTGACAAAGTCAATCTGTACCAGGTTTTCCTTCTTATCTCTTCCTGGTTGGCTTGCCTGTCTGACACCTGCAGGGATGCCCCCACATTTACTCTATTTCAGGCCTGTTTCTGATAAAGGCACTGGTGAAGGACACAGTAAACCATACAGCCCTCCTACCTGCTGACTGTCAGTCGGATTATCCCTCCTGCTTAGGTCCACAAACACTATTAGCTCAAATCCCCCCAGTTTTACAGAATATTTGGTTATTTCCATTATAAACATTTTCCTTCTCTAAACATCTGGAGTAGTTACTAACTTAAATACTGCTGTTAACAATTGTGACACTTAAAAATGTTTTTTTCATGTTGGGCATGGTGGTGCATGCCTTTAATTCCAGCACTCAAAGGACAGAGACAGGTGGATCTCCATAAGTTTGAGGCCAGCCTGGTCTATAGAGTGAGTTTCAGTACAGCCAGAACTACACAGAGAAACCCTGTCTCAAAATAAAAATAATAAGTTAAAAAGTTTTTCCTTTTACAATGAAAGCAACATTATAGTAATTTGTTTAGAGGGTGACAACTATCTACAAGAAGTCACTTCTGTTAAGGTGTGGTCAATTTTCTTCTACATCACTCTCTTTTTAAGGCCTGCTATTAAAAATTATAAAGAGACAGGTGTGGGGAAATTTTAAAAATTAATTTTAAATGTGACTGAAAAACGAAAAGCAAATAAAATGGGGCTCAAAACACATTTTTTTGTTTGTTTGTTTTTTTGAGATAGAGTTTCTGTGTAGCTTTGGAGCCTGTCCTGCAACTAGTTCTTATAGACCTAGCTGGCCTTGAACTCACAGAGATCTACTTGCCTCTGCCTCCTGAGCGTTGGGACTAAGGTGTGCATTACCACTGCCTGGCTCAAAACAGTTTTATTGTTAACTTCAAACCAAGGGCTCTGATGATATACGGGGCTAGCAATTATCTTTCAGTCTTTTTTTCTTCTCAATCACATACAAATTTTTTGTTTGTTTTTTGAGACAGGGTTTCTCGCATAACAGCCCTAGCTGTCCTAGAACTCACTCTGTAGACCAGGCTGGCCTTCAACTCAGGGATCTGCCTGCTTCTGTCTCCCGAGTGCAGGGATTAAAGGCATGTGCCACAACCACCCAGTCACATACAAATTCTCATGTAAGAATCAAAAGAGATTTTTGTTTATTTGTTCCGTCTCACTTTGTTGTATCTATAGCAGAATCTAGCTGAATGTGAAAGCATCACCATAAGGGTTGAGCGGAAATTTGAGAGCCACATTTTGAGCGTCCATACGCTTTACTTACCAGATTCTGCAGAAGAAGGATTTCACTGATGCATATCCATACTGTGAAGCTGGAAACAAAGGAAAATGGCCGTTGTATCCCTCACAGGCAGCTCCTCAGGGAAGCAATCCTGTCCCCCCACTCTGCTCTCATCTGGGCCTGCGCTTTCCTTCATCTGACCCTGCCATCTTTCCCTTACTCTCCAGCTAAGCACATCCACTTATGTCACTGTGACGGTCTGACGACAGTCTGGTCCACTCTAACAGCTTGGGGAACTGTGGAGTGACTTCAGACTTTAGTTCTCTGATGCACATGAATGTTGACTGTTTGCCTTTGCTTTCGTTCTGCCCTTGGGGAGATCTAACACTGTGCTCTAGGTTACACGCACAACCCTTTCATGACTCTAATGTACTGCTAATGTCATCTCTCGAGGACGAGACCAATTACTGCAGTGTTTGTTTTAGCCAGCCTTCCTGGTGACAACCTAGAGGTGACAGCCTTCTGCCTTCTTGTGACAACCTAGAGGCAAATACACGTTAGAGTCAAATGAGGAGGCAGAACCTCTGCCCAAACGCTTCACTGAAGTAAAAAGACCTAAGTTACAGAACTATGGAAAACTGCTAAAATACACAGTAACATAATGAGTGAGAACCCGCAGATCCAAAATACTGAAGAGGACGATGTCTCTGCACGGCTAAGGAAAGGATGATAGAAAGAATCAGAAAACTGCCTTTTGCTCACAACATTTACACATTACACCAGGCTTCTATGTTTACCACAAGGCAGACTCTGTGATCTCAGTGGACACAAGCACATAAGGCACACCACAAGCTGAAAGTGAGTTCTGAACAGCCATCCAGCCCTTCTGAGAGGTTTATGCAACCGACACTAAGTGGAAGCGTGTTCTAAAACATGGCCAAACTGACAGTAGAGGATGTAGCATTCTGTGTTGTGTCCACTGATGTCCTCTAAGCTCAGACGAGGAGACTGAAGCAGGTAACATGGGCACTGCCCAGAACGGACATGGAGCTTATTAACTGTTCTCAGCTAAAGCTCAAACCTCAGATTTACATAGCAGAAGTATACTATTCGGAGTAAACCAGATGCACATCAGGCCTGCATCGCAGAAGTAATGATTTCAGGATACAGTAAAGTTTTAGGAGGGATGAAAATATCATGGCAATGATTAACCCATACAAACACTGCTGAAGGAAAAAAAAAAGCAAAAGACAAAAATTAAAACAAAAAACAAAACCAGAAAGAGCTGGCAACATGTTTATCAACCCAGCATCTAGAACAGTTCTGGCCAAATCTAGAACGGATCACTGGCCCCAAGTGTTGAGTGTTCGTAGAATGGGTCATTAATGAAAGCAGAAAAACAAACATAGACAATGAATGCTGAAACGTGTATTTAGGAAAGAAAGATGAACAATAGCAGTATTTTTAAGATGGGAAAAGAGAGATAATGGAGCTAGAGGAAGGTAGAGAGCACTTGATTTAAACACCATAAACGTGGAGGCCAAAAGGTAATAATGTCGTGGCAGTCTGTTTCACTAGAGTGTAAACATATTTCATACTATTAATCCCTGAACTTAAACATGATTAGGAACAGTAAGTCTTGTGCTACACTTTCTTAGGGTTTCTCACCCATGTAGACCACAACGGCCCTGAAGTCACACCCTGACTCATTCTCCAGAATGCTGGGCTTAGCTACCATGCTTACCTGTTTTCCACTTTTCAGAACTATAAAATGAACTTTTTTTTTTTTGAAAATTAGAAAAAAGGGGCACCAGAGGGATGGCTCAGTGTTAAGATACTGATTGATTCGCTAGAGGACCCAGACTCAATTCCCTGCACTCACACGATGACAGCTAACAACTGCCTGGAACTCCAGTTCTAGGAAATCTAACATTCTTTCATGGCTTCCATGGGACCTGAAGCCCATGTGGTGCACAGACAGACAAGCAGGAAAAACACTCATACACCTATAAACGGGATGTAGTTCAGTCAGGAGATGCTTGCCTAGTCTGCACAAAACCTTAGGTTTGATCCCCAGTACTGCATAAGTTTGCCTGGTGGCATATGACTGCAATCCCATTTCTCAGGAGGAAGAGGCAGACAGATTACGGTTTAAGGCCGTTTTTGGCTCTATATACTGGCTGGTTTTATGTGTCAACCTGACACAAGCTAGAGTCATTAGAGAGGAAGGAGCCGCAGCTGAGGAAGTGCTGCCATGAGATCCTGCTGTAATGCATTTTCTCAATTAGCAATCAATAAGGGAGGGCCCAGCCATGGTGGTTGATGCCATCCCTGGGCTACTGGTCCTGGGTTCTATAAGAAAGCAAGTTGAGGAATTCATGTGAACAAAGACAGCAAGCAACTCCCCTCTGTGGCCTCTGCCTCCAGGTTCCAGTCCTGTTTGAGTTCCTTTTCTGATTTCTACCAAATGATGGAGTATGATGAGAAGTGTAGGCCAAATGAACCCTTTCCTGTGACTGCATATCTGGTCCAGACAAACAAGCATTTCACACGGAAACAAAGTTATGAGATCCACAGACTTTTAGGGCCAGAAAAACTGAGTAGGGGCAACCAGCATCTTGTCTATAAAGTCAAAGCTGTTACACAAAGGGATCATGGAGGGGCTGGAGAGATGGCTCAGCGGTTAAGAGCATTGCCTGCTCTTCCAAAGGTCCTGAGTTCAATTCCCAGCAACCACATGGTGGCTCACAACCATCTGTAATGAGGTCTGGTGCCCTCTTCTGGCCTGCAGGCATACAAGCAGACAGAATACTGTATAAATAATAAATAAATACATATTTAAAAAAACAAAAAAAAAAAAAACAAAGGGATCATGGAGTCTGCACAGGAAGAAAGCATGTTGTATGCATTCCAAGGGAGGAGTGCCTGTATTGCCATCACCCGCTGTGAAGTATGCTGGTAATCAAAGGTATTTTTCATATAAAATCTGAAAAATTTAACTTTGTAAAAAGAAATGTACTGGTTTGTTATGTCACTAAATAAGAAAAATACCATTTTATTGTGTTCCCTTTACAGAGGAGAATAAAGCCTGTTGTGGTGCATGCCTTTAATCCCAGCACTAAAGATATAGAAACAGGGGGTTGAAGAGATGGCTCAGTGGTTAAGAGCACTGGCTGCTCTTCCAGAGGTCCTCTGAGTTCAATTCCCAGCAACCACATGGTGGCTCACAACCATCTGTAATGAGATCTGGTGCCCTTCTCTGGCATGCAGGCATACATGGAGGAAAGAATGTTGTATACATAATAAATAAATCTTAAAAAAAAAAAGATGTAGAAACAGGCGGATCCCTGAGTTTGAGGCCAGTGTGACCTACAAAGTGAGGTCCAGGACAGCCTTGGCTACATAGGGAAACCCTGTCTCAAAAAACAAAAAAGAAGCCGGGCGGTGGTGGCGCACACCTTTAATCTCAGCACTCGGGAGGCAGAGGCAGGCGGATCTCTGGAAGTTTGAGGCCAGCCCGGTCTACAAGAGCTAGTTCCGGGACAGGCACCAAAGCTACAGAGAAACCCTGTCTCGAAAAAAACAAAAAACAAAAACAAACAAACAAACAAAAAAGAAAAATAAGTAAATACACAAATGAAGCACAAAGAATAAGGAAAACATGTATGCTGTACTACTTCTGTAAGCATGACCAGATCCCGGGGCAAGATACTCACTCACCCTAACATTGCTCTCATTACCTCTTTGGGTCCGGCTGCTCCAGAAAGGAAGCTGACTCTGAACAGTGTGTGTGTAGAACACCCTCACGTCTTGAGGGGCAAGCAGGTCGACAAAGCACGAGGACGTCAAGAAATCTTTCTTAGAGTTCAGGATCGAAGCAGCCTGCTCCGAAATGTGCACTAGCCGTCCAGACACAAGGGAAAACACTGCCACAAAGGTATCCTGGGAGAAACAGATCAGGCAAAAATTGAAAAACTTACACACAAAAGTCAGTTTCTTCTGGATTTCTACCACAATCCAAGGCTTAAAATACACGCGTGTGCCCACATGCACGCACACACCCCTCGTAAAGAACAAAGCTTCCTAAATAGTTTTCTCCAGCATGCTTCTTGGCAGCCATTATAAAAAGGACACTAGGCTTCCTGAAAGTTTGATCTCGACGCCACAAGCCCACACCAGCTCCTGAGCAGACTAAATATGTCTGCGGCACATAGGCTTTTCTCTTCTGCTAACGGCTCTCCCCCAGGAGGGGACTGTCTTCCTGTCAGTCATGCAGGTTCTATGCTTAAAGACGGAGCTCAAGATCTGCCTCCGTCCCAAGCTGCCCTCCACAGACCTCATTACATAAGAACTGCGCCTCAGGTCCTGTTCGCTTCGTCACCGACTTCACTGATAATTGGCCACTGTGCTTGCTCACGTGGACCTGCTTCCCTGTACAGACTTATGGTGAATGTTTCCTCAGAAGCTGTTTCTTTAAACACCTACTACAGCACGAAGCTCGTTACTTAGGAAACACTACACGACTACTTGTAATACCTACAAAAACATTAAGTTAAAGCGATGCTCAAATTTAAATATCAAATTAAGGCGTCTCCACCATCAATAAAATATGAGGCTTAATTACTGTCAAGAAGAAGAGATGTATATACGCACACTAAAGGTCTCTTCCAAAACTCCCCCATAAAAATGACATCTCAACTCACCTGCTCTACCTAATCCAGCCGCTACAACTTGAGGGAGTAGGTATTGGAACTAAGAATGATACAAATAGAAAGTAACAATTTGGAGATTAGAATAAGGCGCAGGAAATTACTCTGCCATGTTCGGTTGGCTGCTTCTTTCCTTTTTATAGTAGAGAACATGGGATGCTGAGGGGAGGAAAGAACCTGACAGCTCACACACGAGGCTGCGCTAGAGCGCGAGCCGCAGTCTACCTTCAGACGCTCTGCCACAGGCCGGAAACACCACACAGCACCTTCTCAGCAGTTTCGCCTTTGTTTACCTCAGCAAGAGACGCTTTCAATGACTATTTTAACACCTAGAGAAGGTCCTTAGGAGAAGTCACCTCATTCATTGGAGAAGGCAAAACTCATGAAATCTTACTTACTGTGTTCTTGGAAGCATGTTCAGAAGTGAGACCGGCCAGCTCCTCAAGACCGTGCGCAGACACGTCTGTCTGAGGTGCTCCGTGTGGACTGAGATTTGAGAAAAAGTCTCTGTTTGCTAAGAAACACAGGGAGATAAATGGGTAATCCAGTGAAAGCAGCATCTTTAGGAAGTCATGTCTTAGCACTAGCAAGCTGACTTATTTCCCTCAAAACCAGGTCATGTTTGGCTTGCATCAAAAATATGGTCAGTTATGCAAACTTAAGACTATGAATTTTATAAATCCTGCATGCTCTAGGTTACAGGGGACAAAAATCATTTACAGTTCTAAAGCTAGTTAAAGAAATTAAAAGTTCACACACACATTTCTTTATGGAGGAAGCATTAGCATGCACAAACTACTTATTTGTCACAGGTGAAGCAAAGAGGTTTGTGCTAAAGACATAGCAACTTACAGACTACTCAAGAAAGTAAGTCAGAGGGGAAGGAAAAATGTTTGTCCTTTAATTTAGCCAATTTTTTATATTGTGGTTGCACTTCCAAGACATGTGCATGACAGGAAAGCATACATGTCTTTTCTCTTGGAACCTCCAAGGAAGGCAATGCTTCTTGAAAAAGGTCTTCAAGTCTTAGTTTGACTGCTAAACTCTACTCTTGCAACAGATCTGCAGAGACTGCAGTTAGTAAACTCTCAGACAGATCCCATCCTCCTGGCTCTGGAAAGCCCAAAGCGCCACTTCATAACCAGACTCGCTTGTCCTGGCCACAAAGACGCTCAAGCCTCTGGAGAACCCCAGTGCACCCTATTCTTTGCAACTCATTTACCTTGCACGCTATGCACACAGCGAAGGGCATAGTTAAGGGCATCTAGGGTGCTGGGTTTAGTGTGTCTCTCGGCTGGAAAATACTTTTTCATTTCTTGGACAATCATTGTAAGTTCTTCAGATATTCTGTTTCTGTCTTCATGTTCACTGAATAGAAAAAACACACACAGAAGAAGTGGCAATGGTGGACATTCAGAAGTATCTGTTTTTTAGGGTGTTTGGACGCACCAACTCACTCGGGTTTAATGTCCTTGCTCTTGCAGGTAGGGGGCCATTTGACACTTTCCAACCTCCCTTCAGCCCTACCTAACTCCGTCGAATTCTTTAACCACTTTGCCACTTCTTTCCTACTCTGGTAATTTACTCTAGCAACCCCTCCTCCCATCGATTCTTACTCAACTGTCCAAAAGTTCCCTGTCGTGTCGCCTCCTCCGACACTCTCTGCCCCCGGGGTCAAAAATATAACAAAAAAAAGTTGTTAGCCAGCTCCAGGGAAGGCTACCCGGCGTCACCTGTGGCTGCTGTCCACGGAAGTGCCCAGCAGCGGACCCTCCTGTCCCCTGTCGTGGGGACAGTCGCCGCCGACTGCCGGGTCTCCACAGGGGTCCATCCCGCCTGGCAGCCCTCAGTTTGCAGCCAGCCACCAAACCCTGCTTGTTTGGGTCCCTGCCATCGCCTTCGGGAGAAACTGGTCGCCGACCACGCTCATCTGAGGGGCACTTTTCTCCTCAGCATTTTCACAGTCTCTGCTCGGGTGACGAGCTACACCGACACCTCGCCGCCGGAAGCGGGCTGGTCGGACCCCGCCGCGGCTCTCAGGGAGCTCGTTCAGCCCGAACTAACTTTTCCACCGTCCATGTTGGGAAGTCGGCGACCATCAAGAAACGTCTCAGAGCGCACAGTTCCGGGGCGACCGCCCGGGCGGAAGGCCGGGGCAGAGCGGCTGATCATGCAGCGTCGGAGACCCCACTCCAGCCAAGTCCTCGCCCACCCGCGCACCGCCAGGTCTCGAGGCCAGCCGCGTGCTGAGCCGCCGCCGGCCCCACCCCCCTGCGCGCCAGGGCTCTGGCCACGCCCCTCCGCCGCGCGACTGGTCACGACGGCCGGCTACGGGAGGCCCCACTGGCCAGGGGCGGGCCGGGGGCGGAGTCAGTCTCGGCACAGCGGGGGTTACATAACCGCGGGCGGGTGGGCGGGTGCAAAGGCCCCGGAGAACCTTACGTAACGCGCGGGTCGGGCGAGGTCGGCTCTCGGCCAATCCCGTCCGCCAGGAGCCCGGGTCGGGGGCGGAGTGGCCGTGAGTACGCTAGGGCCTAGACGCGCCAGTCTACGGCTGGACTTCCCAGAGGCGGGGCCTCGGAGCTGTCAGTCAGGAGGGGGCGGGTCAGGGGCGTGGCCTGCGCGGCCGACAGGTGAGTGGAGCCTGGTTTCCCTGCGGCACTTGTGAGGCTCCTCGAGGGGACGCCGTGCATGAACGGTCTTCTTGGTTTCCTATTGTTTTAATCTTTCCTAAACTTGCTGTCTCTTCCCGAATGCCAGCTACAGGCGAATGGACCCAGGTAGAATCCAACCAAATTTTCAAAAATAGAAATTTAATGATACTAGGTAACTTCCCTGGCTGCCCTGAAGTTACAGATTCATTTAGCAACAGGAGGAAAATAAACATATGTAAACGACGCCCCCTTTTCCAGGAAACAGCCGGAACGCTCTTTTCATCTGTCTCCACTCTTCCGAAATGAAATCAACAGGGCAGAGCTCCAGCCCTCTGCTGCCTGGGTACACCAAGAAGACACGGGGGGGGGGGGGGGGGGGGGGGGGGGGTAGGGGGGGGGATAGGAGATGGTGCAGCAGTTTAGAGGGGAGCGCCTAGTCCGTCCGTTGGACGGTTCCCAGGCACCCTCTATCAGGTGCCTCACAAGTATCCGTAATTCCTGCTCCAGCGGATCCAACGCCCTCATGGATAAAAGCACTTGCACGCACGTGCACATATCCAGACACACAGCAGAGAAATAATAGAATCTAGAAAAAAAAGGTACACACAGTATTTTTTGGATGAATGAAAGATGTTCTAGGTCAAAGAAGAGGAAAGTGACAGAGGGCAGTTATCCACATTATGTAGTTTTTCTCTACACCGGACCACTCTACTGCCAAACTCTTCTTTAAGAAGCATTTATTATACCGCTATTGTGTGCACACCTGAGCAGAGATTATTGTACTCTCTGAGGACAGGACAAAAGTCTCTACACTCAACATACAACACAATTGACCCCTGAAAGTCTGAGATGATGATAAAGAAGAAGCTGGTGGAATGGGAAGGATGGAGGTTAAGGGAGGAGGCAAAAAGGATTGGGAAATGGACTGGAGGATGTTTTCACTGAGAAGGGGAAACTGAGCCTCAGGGGTGCCTTGGGGTGAGGGAAGTGGGTGGGGACAGCGCTGAAGAGCACTGCATCTGCCAGGCCATCCCGGTGCAGAGCAGGTGAGTTGAACGTGTGAACATGTGAGCTGGTCCCAACGGAAGGGCCCGACTATCCGTATCTACCTATCTGGCTGGTGGGGGTGTGGTGTGCCAAGGCCAACTTTCCAGATTACTTCCAGAAGACCATATTTTAAGAAACCCACAGGCCACATCCTACCTTCAAGCCAGCTCCTAACTCATCTCTGCACAGAGAAGCACTTTCATTTGGGGTGTGTGACACTGTTGACTTTATTGGGTCTGGAATCAGCTGAAAGGCAACCTGCTGAGCAGGCAATCCTGGAGGATTTTCTTGCTGATTATAGGAAGTGGGGAAGACCTACCCTATGTAGGCAGCAACTTTTGGTGGCAGCTCAGGTAATGGTGATGGAAGAAGGATGCTCTGCTTTTTGCCCGTGAGCCTTCACTCACTGGCAAGTTCATCTGCCCTGATGTGGCTGCCCTTTGCTGTTACCAGATCTCAGCTTCTCTGAGCTTCAACATGGTCGGAAGACCAGAGGTTTTCCAGGAATACCCCCACAGCCTGCAATGCTGGATTGGAACTGCAGAAGCACTTAGCCTCATGAACTGAACAGCTACTAAGTTCTCTGTAAGGGAATGGTGGGTTGGAGCACATCAGCTCAGCACACCCCAAAGCCAAGGTCTCAGCACAAAGGAGATTTATTTGCCCCAAAGGAACAAAGGGCAGAGAGTGAGAGACAAAGATTGGGGATAGAGGATGAGGGAGAAGGGAAGGGAACAAGGTAGAAGGGGCAGGGATGTTTGTCCTGGAGGGAGACAGACATAGTGACCCATAGGAAAATGGCAGCTTATAAAGAAAAAAGGGGAAACCCATGTTTGGATGAGGTCTTTAATTTTAATTGGGCATGTTAATCAGGTGAGCCAAAGGGGGTTTTTTGATTGCTGGACTTTAATACTTTAATAGCTGGACCTTGGTAGTCAGTCACAGGAGGAGAAAGTGGCCGAATAGGGGAACAGACCTTGGGGGCTAGCTTTAGGAATGTAATCTAATGTTTTTTTAGGGAGGGAATAGGAGAGAAGGGCAGGGCCTGCCAGAGTCACGTCTGTCATGCTTAGGCCGGCTTCAGTTCCATCATTCCCAGTCTCTTCAGTGGGAAGCAGATGATATCACACAAGCCAATCTAATAAACCTTCCTCTAATATATATTCATCTGTTCTGTTGTCCGAGGGAAGCCTAGCACAGGACGGGATCTCCAGCTGCTCAGGGAAACTTGTGCTGCAGCGGGGGGTGGGTAAGAGACAAAAGGTAGTATGTGGGGGGGGCAGCAAGGAGAAGTTTTAGGACTCGGATCAGGTGTACCCACCCCGCTTCAAGGAACACAAGACAGGATCATGTTAATAAACAACTTTATTTAGGACATCATAGCGGGAAAGTTCCCAGCTAAATGCACAGACAAGCGAGGTATTACTGTGTTAACGCAGGAGCCAATGAGTTACATGGGTCTGAGTATGGAGGAGACAGCACCAAGGTTGTGGGTCAGACCAGGACAGAGGCCCTAGGCTGATGCTGCTTTCCCATTGTGGGGCACACTTTCAATAGTTATATTGTTTCAGTAATGTCAGGGGAACAAATAAAAAACTGGAACCAGATTCTATTATGCCTTGACTGATGCTACTTTGCACACACAAAATCCAGGGCATTCTAGAGGCACTGCCATAGGCAAAGAAAGCCTGTTTCTTCCTCACTGATTTCTTATGTTCATTCATGCCTGAACTCTCCACTTTGAACCATGCCTTGATGAAAAGTCTGATACACAACGAAAGTGTTTCAGATGGCAATAGCTATGGCTTAAGAGCAACAGGCATCTCTGCTTAGCTCTCCACTTGGAAGTGGCCAATACCTCACCTCAAGCATAATACAGAGGACCGGTTTAGAAAGTGGGGTATGAGCAAAAGCAGTAAACAGCATTCGAGATCTCGGGTCTGTGCAAACTGACGTGAGGCTGCAGAGCTGCTGCTCACACTGCACTAGCGACCGCAGCCTCTAGTTCAGTCTGCAAACTGCTGGCTAAATGTCTGACTTTAGCTCGTCTCTATAGCTCTGTGAAAGAAACCAAATCTGAAGGAGTAGCATTATCTACAGCATAGGAAGGACTGTGAAAGTGCTGAAGGCTCACACAGAACTAACACTTTCTTCTTGAAGGGCACCTTGAGTTACATTTGGCACATTATCTAAATTTGTCTATTAGGGACAGACTTACGGACATTTTATTTGTATTTAACTTTTGGCAAAAATACTTTGGTCATAGTTCTACAAAAACATTTTAAAGGGTTATTTTTGATTAAAATACTCTGAGAAGTGATACACAACAAGAACAAAAAAGTAAACATCTTCACACCTAAGATGAAAGCATTTTAAATAGAGCAGGAGTCAGTAGTGCTTACAGAAAGGAGGGTCCTCTTAAGGAAAAGGAGCCAGTATCAAAATAAGGCTCACCCTGTTATTGCCACCGATGTTTACTAAGCAGTAGTGTTCTTCCTGGAAGGCACGAGCTGGGAGTCTAATCACCCAAAGGTTTGAAAATGTTGTTTTGAAGATGATGTCAGATGTGGGGACAACTGACTTGAATAGAATCCCCTTCCTGGAATCCACAGCGAGTCATCAGTGACAACATCCACCTTGACTCCAGCACTCTGGAGCAGCAGAAGTCCTCTTTCCTAGTCGGTGCATAGCTCTGTGAAGGCACTGTGCAAAATGTGGGCAGGGCTGCTCACACCCCCATTTGGAGTGTATATTTAAACAAAGGCACATTTCCTAGGCAGTGAACTGTATGTAAACTAACAAAAATAATCATTTGGACAAAAAAACAAAACAAAACAAAACAACCCAGTAGGTAAGCTCAATAACATAGAAGGCTCTAAGTAGAAAGTCTTGAAAACGCTCCTGAACAGTAGGCTTCGGTTTCACCAGGTTCTTCATTAAGAGACACACCACACTAAGAAGCAGGGAAGATTTAGAAACAGTGAAAGGGCAGTTTAGTCTTTTTGCATAGATACTCAATATGGACTTCTATTGTCTAAATAAGGACAGGAAGAAATCGATTTGGCCAGTTGGGATGGAGCAAGGTGGTCTCAGCTAATCACTATATTACACAAAAGGAAACATAAAACGACACAGGAAAGAAAAATTGACCAGTTAGTAGGAATGATATTCCAGTCTCAAAGGATTAATGTATGTATGTATGTATGTGTGTATGTACCGATATATCTAAAACACCAGACTTTATTACACAAATCAAATATTTAGGGTCAATATGGTGGTGGTACATGCCTATAATCCTAACACTTGAGAGGTTGAGGTAAGAAGATAACAAGTTAAAGGTCAGGTTGAGTTGAACAGTGAGACTCTGCCTCAAACCTCCCTCCACACTACCATCCCAAAAAACTCTCAAGTATCCCAATTATTTGGTAAAGAGAACCTTGGGATGAACTAACCTTCACCCTTTGCTCCTGCACATGCAAACATCTGTGAATAAGGGGAGAACTCACCAATAATGATGATGACAATAATCACCAGGACACTGATCCCTATCGCCCACATCTGCAACAAGACAGGTCCATTTAACATTGCAAAAACAGACAGACAGCGCTCACTGAA